ATAATACTTACTATTATACCAAAAGGTTGCACCATGTATGTACAGGTACTTGATGTTTCTGTTTTTTCAGTTTTCAAGAATCATTACGACGATGTTGTCGAAGAATATGTTGACCACAATGGACCAAGAAGTAAAATAAAACTTACAGCATCTCAATCACGTATTCTTGGCACCAGATTTACATGATCTGCATGGTTACGAACATTAAAAAGTATCGATTTTGTTAAAGCATTTCAAAATATTGGTTATATCTGGTCAGATAATTCACCATTTTCTCTTCGTACAATGCCTGGCTCCACATTTGATCTAAGTTCAGCTGACTCGGAATCGTCAACCAATGGTGATAACGATACAGAAGATTGTATTGATATTGTCGCTGATAAAGCAACAGAACAACAACAACACACTCAGTCATTAGCAATACGATCAAAACAACTAACATTGTTCAATATGTGGAAAAAATAAAATGTAGCAGTTTTTTTTATGTAATATTTATTTTGGATGCAATATTTATACTATGTATGATATTTATTGTACGTGCAATATTTATTTTGTGTCTAATACTCATTCTGTGTGTAATATTTATTTTGTTCGTATATAACGAAAATAAAGTAAATTATCATAAAGCATGAAAACTAGAATTCGCTTTGTTTTCATACAAGATTCTAGCAACTGACGGTTTAGAAGACCCCCCCCTTAGCAAGTTGACATACAAGGACGCATTAGAAGACCCCGTGTCTTCTATTACGGGGAGGAGTTTACATATTTTTTATCTCTTTAATTTAGTGATAATGGATTAAAAAGCTCACCAATTATTTCACCATGTTCATGAACCATTTTAGCAACATCTTTAAATAATTCATTCACTTCAACAATATTTGTCTACGAAAAAGTAATTTTTTTATCAAACTTCTTCAAATTAATTTTATACTTCAATTTGACGTAGCTGTTCACCACGTTCGCTTAAACCTCTTAAATCAACTTCTTGTTCGGCAGATAAAACAGATTGTTGTTGAAGTTGGGTATTCAAAGGATCAAATATATCGGTAGTATGTGATTCATGTACATTTTGTTGTCGATACGTAACAGCTCGGGCATGTTCAAGACTTTCTTTTTCTTTTTTTGCACCCGCACGTTGTGCTTTTTGATAACGGTTCAATACTGCTAAATATTGTTTTGGCAAAGTTTCAGCTAAATTTTTTCTACGTCTCTACGAAAAATGTGTTCATTAAATTTTTCTTTTGTTTTTCTCGTTTTTATTTCACCTGATCAGCCGCAGTCCCTATAGGAATACTCTGAAGTTGTTGAAGAGCATGATTTGTCTCTTGCATTAATAATTTTGTTTCATTTTGCAAACGAAAACTGATAGAAAGCAAAATTACATTCATATTTAATCATAAACTTATTCAACTTACTAACGTTCTTGTAATGGTTCACTATCTTCCTGTGTACCTAATTTTTCCACGAGTCTTTCAATATCATTTGCTATGAATAATTAAATCATAGATAAAAAGAAAAGATCAATCAATAATTTAACATACTATGACTATTAATCTTTGCTAGGTTAGTAGATATTGTATTATGTAAACGTTGAAAATCACTAGCAGTTGCCACTAAAACCAACGATACAAATAAATTTTCTCTGAGCTTTTTTCTTACTTTTTGATGACCAAGTATCGATACAATTGTCGATCTGCAATAAAACAATATTTTAAAGATTATCAAAGGTTATTTATGTCAAACTGTAGCATGCTAATAGAACGCTATTAAAATGTTAGGATCAAGCGAAAATAATAATTAATCTAAGTAAATATAAAAGTTTGAGATTAATTCGCATGTAAGCATTTGTTTCTTGCTCTCACTTGCAATAATTCATCATCTGATGGATCAGCCATGAATATTGTCTTCGGTTCGTTCACTTAATTTGTCTTACAAACAAAACAATTTTTATCAATTATCTAACAGAGTAGAATTCTCAGTTATTCAATACTTACTAATAAATTCTTCATTGTATACTACTCTATACTTACAGTGATTCATTATCAGATGTGTGAATGAATGCATGAGAATGTAGGTAGATGGCGCTGCAATTATGCAGCATTAAATATAAAATTTTGAATAATGAAATTTGACTTTAAAAAATCGTTTTTTTCCATAGCAATTATACATTTATTATACCTAAAATATCAACCAGTCAAAATCAATGTCTTTATCCCAATCAACAGTCAGCTAGTCAGTTAGTCAGTCAGTCAGTCAGTCACTCTCTGATTTGATAATTACGTGATTGAACAAAAACCACCACTTTAAAATTCAAAAAGTAAGAATTAAATGGATACTGGAGATTTAAATTTACCCGCATATAAATACCAATTTGAGCAAGTAAATATTTTTTTTCTTAAAGGACATTAATTTTATTCTATTTTGGTATTGATTTTTAAGGTAGAACTAGCACTCAAAGCAAAACCGGATGATCCTGAATTACTCAAACTTAAACAAGATCTTGAAGTAATAATTCTCTATTTACTATTTTTGACTAATTATTTCATTTAGGAAGTAATACAAATAACAGCTGAGCTACTCGGTTATGATCCATCAATCTTAAGTTCTGATGAAACAGCAACATCATCAACGAATTATAATGAAATAGCGTCTTTGAGTTATGCATCGTCATCACAATTAAATAATACAACAACATCATCATCAGTTCGTTCAGCTATTAAATGGAAAACAGGTGATCGATGTTTAGCACCTTGGAATGAAGATGGCAAGTATGTAAAATCATAATATTTTATCAATTGCAATTCTTTATTACTTTTTCTCTAACTAGATATTATGAATGTACAATTGATGATGTACTTGATGACGGAACATGTACAATTGTTTTTGATGGATTTGAATCAGCATCATTAACGGTCGTTCGAGTAAGTATAATATATATATTTAAAAGAAAAGAGTATTTTAGTATTTTATTTGTAAAGGCATCAAAATTAAAACCATTCGATCGAACACGTCCTGGCTTAAGTGGAATAAAATCAGCCGCTAATCAAGCTAAAACAAAGTAAATATCACTAAGAAACATTTTCTTGTTTGATTTTACCTTTTGCTTTTTATTTAATATAGACGGGAATTAGAGCAACGACTACGTGAGCTTAAACGCCGAAAAAAAGAAAAGAAATTGTCAAAGTTAAAAGAATTCGAAGAAGAACGTGAAAAAGATAAAAAGCGATGGACAGATTTTAATTCTAAAGTAATTAAATAATAAATCATTTTTATTTCAATAACATTTCTTTATTTAGTTAACTAGTCGAACATGGAAAGGTGTCGTATCAAAATCAGTGGTTAAAACTGATAAACGAACTGAACAATTACGTGGTACAACAAATGGTTATTTAATATCAAATTATAAACCAGCTCAACCGCGACCGTAGATTTTGACGTATCATATATGCGACAGAGATCTTGTTTTGTTTCTTGTCATTTTTTTTTGTTTAAATGTAATCTTTTCTGTATGTAAAAGAAAGATATGAATAAGAATGACACTTGTATGTTATTCTAGATCTTTTTCATCTCTTGAACTTAGTTTGAACTCTGCGAGATATAATGACAATTGCTTGAAAAAATGCAAAGTACTCGTCTGTTAATTACCGCACAACGTTGTTCATCAGGATCTAGAATTAATCATTTATTGAGACGCTGTCTCACTATTTCTAATTCAACAACTAAAATAAATCTCAACAAGTGAGCAATAAATAATAAAAAAGAATTTGACTGGGCTTAATAGTGCCGAATGAAGTTGATCAGGAATTCTTCATTATGCAGAAATGAAAATTGTGTTTTCAGATATATCTATTAAGTAACCGAAAAGAAACTCCGAACACTTTTTAAAGATTTTTCTCTTGAAATTTCTATCAAAGATTCGACATCTATTGGTTCAACAGTAGTGTATCAAAATCATTTCAAAGTACTTTTTTATCTTAAATTTCAATAAAAACGGTTTCTATCATTTATTTAGACTTCATATTTGAGATTTTTTTGAAAATGTCGTATGGACTGCCGATATAAGTGTCAGCATTTTAAACTTCTTAGGTTCCTAACTATTTGGTTATTGCAACACTATCTATACTATTTATTCACACTTTTATAATAGATGCTCTTGAGATAATATTTTAATAAGGAAAATGTTTTTCTTTTATTATTTTAGCCCATCCCTTTTTCTAATCGATTCAAACCTTCTGTCATGTAGCACTGGTCGGTTATTATCACTATCAAGAAGTAGCATAATTCGTGTTCGACAACACCTACCTGTTCGATATGCTTCATCAAGTAGTTTACCATCTCATAAAAAAATTGCTCTTCCAGCATTATCACCAACTATGGAAACCGGTACAATACGGTCATGGTCTAAGAAAGAAGGAGAAAAAATTTCTGAAGGTATATGTCATCATTGTTATGAGCAGTTCTTTACTTATCTTTTTTTTTATAAAGTTCGATTATCGAAAATTTTCTTTCAAAAACAGTAACAAGAAAATATTTTTCTTACAGGTGATCTGTTAGCTGAAATCGAAACAGATAAAGCAACATTAGGATTTGAGTCAAGTGATGAAGGGTATCTAGCAAAATTCTTGTAATTGCTGGAAGCAAAGACGTATCTGTTGGAAAAGTAAATAAATAGTTATTTGATTTTTTTTATCATCGAACGATTCAATAATTTACATATTTAGTGATGTACTATTATTGTTGAAAAAGAAGAAGACATAGCTGCGTTCAAAGATTATAAAGATGATAGTAGTGAATCATCAGTAAAAAAGGAATTATCAGATGAAAAAGCTGCAAAGAAAGAGAATGAACCTACGAAAAAAGATGATTTAATCAGTCAAAAAGAACAACAACGAACATCAACTCGCAGTTCAAATGACGATGATCGAATTACAGCATCACCTTTTGCTCGAAAACTTGCTCAAGAAAAAGGCAGATCTTGAAGTAAATATTCAACTCTCTTTGTTGTGTACACAGCAGAATAAAATTTTATCTAAACCTTCTAGTCAATTCAAGGCAGTGGTCCTAATGGTCGAATTATTGCTGAAGATGTTGAGAAATTTATAAAAGAGGGTGATGCTAAAGCTAAATCAGAGACTAAAAAAGTCAAAGACACTCAAGAAACTCCATCTAAAGCAGCTAAAAAAGATAAAGAAACAGGAGCACGTGCAGGCGGTTATGATGAACGGCAAATATCAGAATTACAAGCAGTAAATGATTTATATAAAAATATTATAATTTATTCAGTACTTAATTTTCTTTTCTTAGAGAAATGCTCGTCGTGTAACGGAATCAAAGAGTACAATACCTCATTACTATTTAACTATTGACATTCAATTAGATGAAATAATCAAGTGTGGTCTTTTAGAATTCAATGAATTTTCCGTGATTTATTAACTTTTTTTTGTTCTAGATTACGTCAAAAACTTAACGACACGTTGACATCTAAATCAAAGGGTTCAAAAGAAAAAACACGTGGTATTTCAGTAAATGATTTTATTATAAAAGCAGCTGCACTTGCATGCAAAAAACGACCTGAAACAAATAGTGTTTGGATGGATAAAATCTATCAGACAGTAAATATTGTCAATGAATTTTATTGTTCATTTAATTTAAAATATTTACATTAGATATGAAACAATTGATATCAACGTTGCAATCGCTACTGGAGCAGGTGCTCTCATGACGCCTATTATTCATAATGCTGATCAAAAGGTAGATTCTCATTGTTTTTTCAAATGAAATATTTTTCTTGCTTAAGGGTCTTTCAACCATTAACAAAGAAATATCACAACTGAACGAAAAAGCAAACAGTGGAAAATTGAGTAACAATGAACTCGAAGTAGATCAATGAAATTTTTTCTTTTCTTGTTTTGTCATATTAATTATAGATGGGAACGTTTACGATATCTAATTGAGGAATGTATGGTGTAACAAATTTTAGTGCTATAATTTATCCTCAACAAGTATGTCATATACAATAATGTTTGAATTGACAGAAAAGCAAAATACATATGTATTCTTCTTTTTATCTTTCTAGTCGGCTATTTTAGCTGTTGGTGGCGTTGAAACAAAAATTGTACCTACAACAGATTCTTCAAAAGGGTATGGAATTATTTTTGTTCATTAATCATATGAATTTATTCTTTTCAATAGTTTTCGTCAATCAACTATTCTCAATGTAACATTAGCATGTGACCATCGTATTATTGATGCTGTCGTTGGTGCCCAATGGTTACAAGAATTTAAACAATTTCTTGAACATCCTGGATCAATGATTTTATAAACAATGTTAATCTATAATGTCTTGAATTGTCGTCATGTATCCTACTTATGCTCTATATATTAGTCATAAATTGTAGCCTAGTTTTGTGACATAACTAGCCTATTGCATGCATATTCTATCTTCGTTTATTTTCGGTAAAAAGCAAACAGTATAACGATTCATTTTTCTCATGTTTTAACCATTTTTATTTTCCATGTCTTTCATCAGAACTATGAATAGAATACATGAAAATGCGTAATATAGATCTAACAGATCTTAGTCCGTAAGTAACTTCATCGAAAAGGAAATTGTTTATTTTCGATATAACTTTATTTAATGAGCTAAGATTTTCACCAAAGATAAACGGACATTTACAGTTCTTTTTCATGGAATAAAACCTGACGAAACCTTTTTTGCGAAGTGCTAATATTGATTTTAATATGGTAAAAATATACAATGAAAAATAAGTACAAATTACTTGAGTCAGTTTAATATGTGTCAAGTTTATTTATTTATGTTAAAATTAGCAAAGTTACCATGTAACAATCAAAAGTTAATTAAATGTACTAACATTTTATCTCATTAAAATGTTGTTAGTTCACAGCCTATTAGATGGTGGTTTTTTAAATTACTGGTAATTGTGGTCCTTGAAAACAACATTTTATTAACGTTTATTCTATGTTTCTGAACGCTTCTTGATTACTGGTAACAAAATAAAAAACTGTCAAAGTCCGTGATGAAAATTTATGAAATATCTATTCAAGCCTTTCTCAAAAAGATTTATATTTTCTAATATTTCATATTCTAAATCACATTCATATTTCTACGTATTATATGTCACGTAAAAATTTCAAGAGAAATATATCTGTCCATATTCTGGGATTTAGGTTTTCATTGTCAAATTGAAGATGTTTATTTTAAAAGTTATAGTGGCTACGAAAATTTTCTCGCGCTCTTCTTGTTTCAATAGATGTCCATTTTTATCTAGTGGTGTTGAAGTATGTTAACAAGTAATTATCATAAAGAAGTAATTGATTGTCATGAAAATTCTTCAAATGTTGGTACTGGTTCAGTTTGTAGTGATGTGATGAAATTATAAGTGAAATTATTTTTTTTTCTTTTTTAATTTTTCATTAGTTAATTTTTCTAATTGATAGATTAGAGTAGATGAGAATGAGAAAATCATTGATGCGAAATTTAAAATATTTGGTTGTGATTCAGCTATTCCTTTATGTGCATTAGTTATTGAATGAATCAAAGAAAGATCGATTAAGGAATCAAACATAATTAAAAATCAAGATAATGCTAAAAAATTATGTTTGACATTAGAAAAATGACCTTGCTCAAGTAAAAGAAAAGAAAACACTTTTAATTCTTCATTTTAATTTTATATTGGTGCTTGCTGTAGATACAATGAAAGCAGGAATTCGTAATTATAATATTAAGACAACAAACAAAGAGCAAATGAATAATACAAAAAAAAACATTTTTATAATTAAGTTAAGTAATCTAAGTTTTTTTTTCTCTATTTTCCATTGCTTTTCTCAATCCGCATGTAAAATTCCAGAATCCTATCGTAATCCGTTTTGATTCGCGAATGGATTGATAAACTTTTATAATTTTTAATTAGGGTATGCATTTTTACGAATAAACAAGCGATTACATAGTATTAAGATGATTATGTCTTAATTGATAACATAAGTTTGTACATAAAGTGCATATTCTATTAATAAACACTCCTCTCGTGTCATGCAAAAAAGACTTTCTTCTAAGAGAATTAAACTAATTTTTTTATCTATTTTAATAGCATGATTTCAGAATATAAATTCAAGATCTTTTTGTTATTAGTTTTCATATCAAGTATGCTTTTACGAGAAAAGAATGTTTTTTTTTTTATATTAATAAACAACTGACAATGTCTACATTCTGCCGACGTTAAGCCACATCTTTGATATGCAAAAATGCGATACTTTATGCAGATTCTTAATTTCATTCAGCTTATTAGTATAGATATAAATTAACTGCTGAAAGCTCATTTATAACGAATAAGTGATGAATAAAGCAAGGTCGTATTCTTATCGATCAAGTATTCGTTTTAATATAAAAGAACTTTCTATAACTATAACAAAGAAACTATAAATAAGGATAAAATAGTTTGCCAGCTCTTAGGAATACGAATATGAAAATGTAGTGAGTAAGTGAAAACTATTAGTACACTTATTAGATTCATTAGGAATTTGATAGAAGAGATTGTTTATAACAAAGTGTAATATTCAATTTCTGGAAGTTCATTTTTATGTATATTCCTTGACTAAAATTGAAAAAAAAGTATTCATTTTTTTTTAATTTTAATCAAAAATGAATAGTTCATCTGACACAAAAAAAAATATCTCTGAAAGTTTTATGCATAAAAATCTGCAGGTTCAAGTTTAATATTAGAAGATGACGAAGATGATGTCCATAGATCATTTGTTTCTTCTTGTTGAATCGAATGTCGATGTTGCTCTGGCTGTTGGTGTTGTTGTTGTTGTATACGATGTAATGGTGCTATTCGTTCGAGATCAATTGTCAAGTATCGCTTGTAATCAGGTGAATTTAATAATTCAAAACATTGCTCAGATAAACGATACTTTTCTCCAATATCAAGCGTACCTAATGTTTGAATATAACGATCATATTCAACACCAAAACGACCTAAACGTTCAATAAGATCATCATCATTTTTATCATTATTATCATTATTATTATTTTCATCTTCTTTTAACATTGGAGCACATTTAACAAGAAGATCAACACGTCTTCGCGTTCCATCAACCATTTGTACACCTTGTCTTACCATAATAAGTAGACGATGTTTTTTTAATTCTTCAATGACTGAATCAAGATAAGCAGCATTGCGTTTTAATTTTGAATTCGCATAGACAGATGTACGTGTAAACGCTACATATGGTAAAAGTAAAAGTTCATGTGCAAGTTCTAATGATTTAACATATGATGGATCAACAAAAGTTTTTAAACGTTTTGCTGATGGTGATGTTGATCTTGGAGGGAATGATGTTGATGAATGTGTTATCCATGAACGATCCGCTATAGGCGCTTGATTTATCATCGATGGAAGTCTAAAAAGAGGGAAAAAAACAATAAAAACTGTAAATGTTGTTAATAAAATAAAAATATTCATTACTCTGGATTTGGTGTTCCAGTATTTAATGTTGGCTCAAACATAATTTCAAATTGTTTAATACTTGTATTAACAAAATAAATGGCTGATTGAACAATAGCAACATTAATATTTACTCGGGCTGTTGCTGTATTACCTCGTGTTTGTTCAATAATATGAGTACAATTATCAAAAAATATTTTATCTGCTTGACCAAATGTATGAAATGTTCGTCGATAAACAATTAATGTTTCAATAGCTAATTCAATTATACGTAATGATGCTGATACACGTAAGACATGTTCACGTGCCGATAAATACCTTGCTGACATCCATGGATGACTATCTTCAAGAGACGTTGCTGTAAAAGAAAAGCGAAAACGACATAATTAAACATGATTTCATGATGTGATAAGAATATACCTTTAAGTGAAAGTGCATCAAGATAATCACACATAAATTGATTTGCTTGTGGTTCATCAAAATAAAAATCCATTAAATTTGAGCAATGACAATTAAGAACTATAATCCATTGTTCAAGTGATGGATAACGATTTGGATCAAATAATTTTGGTCGTCGACAAAATAAACGTGCTTTGCTTGCGATAAACATCATCAACCAATCTGCATTGTTTATATGATTATTATTATTTAGATTATTATTATTAATACTATTATGATTATGATTAAATTTTGTTTCAAGTAATTTTCGAATAAACTGTCCAGTGCTTGTACCAATAATTGAAAAAGAATTTTGTTTTTGAATATGTGTATGCGTTCCATGTTCATCAAATTTATCTGATAGACAAAGACCTGATGATATTGTCGATTCATCTGATCGACAAAATATATTGGAACTAAATGTATGTCGAATATCATATTGTTGACCAGTTTGACGAATACATTGTACATTATTCATTGCTTGTTTTAGATGCTCAACCAATGATGATCTTTCATAGCCTAATTAAATATTATATTGAATTCACAATCTCAGATAACGTAGTTGCTTAGATTTATTCCTTAATTATAATTTCAAGCTTTTCTTTCTCTTTCCTTGAAGTGCATTCATGTGAAAATATCCTCTGCTCTTTTTCTTGTTCTTCTATCAATAAAGGGGTCATAGAGTTCTACGAAGAGGGCAAAATATATTCTTATTTACATCAACTTAAGACAACTTCTCATGATTTCTGTTCGTTAAAGATTTTTTTACTGTTTGCGCTACGTTTAATTTATCATGACATGAATGCAAGAGAATGAAACAACAATAATTATTTTTTCCATTTTCTTATGTCGACAAGACCTATAATATATTGCTTATTTATACTCTCTCGCCTGAGAAATCCAACATTAAAAAAACCTATACTAATGCTTAATGAATAAGAGGCTATGATATTCTATACTATAAAAAAAAAGAATGGTTCTAATTATTTTATCGTTCCTGATGGCAAATCCAACATATAATTTGTAATTTCATCTAAATAATAAGCAACATGTAGATAAAAAACATTTTGGCCTATTTTTTCAAGTTATCTTTATACTACGCAGTTCTCTATTTGAAAATACTACAAAAATATTTAAATAAGATTCAATCATAAAAAGAGCTTGTTTTATCATATATATCATGAAGAGATACATTCGACCATCTTCGATAGTACAAATTTGATTAAGAATATCAATATGATTCTCTACCTGCTCGTACAACTAAGAGTAAATGAAGATTGAGTTTATGTTTAAGTTGATTGTCAGCATAGACAAATGACGTTGCTGTAAGATAGTGTGAAGTTAAGCCAAGTAAATGAATAAATAGGCCAATATTATCATACATATAATAATCACTTAATGCATGAACTAATTCACATGTATCTGGTGACATAACTCGACGTAAATCAAGTTGATATGATTCATTAAGAACCATAAATGTTGAATCAAACCATTGATCCATTGTACCAATATTTTCATCATCCATTTTTTATTCTTCTATTTTCAGCTTGTTGTCCGTGTTCTCTTTACTGCTTGTTACTTGTTCTACTGACGGCAACAAGAATTCTGATTGAAGGAAAAAGAATTCTCCCTCGTTGCCCTCCATTTCTTTCCTTATTTCCTGCATCGAGCCTGTTGCGAGTCGAGTGCAGAATTTTATGCGTGTTGTTAGTCGGCCGAGAGAGAAAAACGAACAGAACCGAATATATATATATATTTTTATATAAATATATTTGTCCTCACTAACGCAGAAAAGAAGAATGAATAGATGTGAGAGTGCAGTTGTCCTTCCACTGAGTGTGAGAAAGGAAAGTTTGACAGAAATGAGAAAAGAAGGACAAAAATTGTTCTGAATATTATCGTCATCATCGTCATTGGTAGTTCTTTAATGTTGTTGAAAAAGAAAAAAAATGCTAGAAGAGAGAAAAAGGGCGTTTTCTTGTCATGATAATTTGATATATTAAGACTACACAATTAAAAAGGACTATTTTACATAGTGTTGCATCACTTAATAAATGCACTTAAATTGACACACTTTTGCCACTGAAAGAAAGACTAATAAAAGAATAAATAAAAAAATAGAATAACATGTGTCATATATAAATTAATCGATGAATTTTATAATAGATTATATAGTATATTAAAGTTTCACAGGATTATTAATGATTTAAATTGATAACCGATTCATGTAGACGAAATCGATTTGCATCATGAGCTGAAAATTCTTTTACGCATATTACCAATTTCGCTATAAAGCTATTGATTAAATGCAGAAAGTAGCTTGAGCGAACAAAAATCACGGTTGAGCAAATCAAATCTAGCACGGAATATGTCACACAAAATTTCTATGTGATGCGTAATCGCTGATAAAGTTGCTGAATTTCGACAATTATAAATCCTTGTAAACCCTGGATGACAATTTTTTTCTCAATTTTGATCAATATAATGTAATATATCACGCATGCATACAGTTCAACACTGAGGATGACGACAAAATCTGCGACCAAATAGAATTGGGACTTTCGACGTTTTTACTTTCTATATTTAACTATCAAATCGTATTAGTTAAATTTAGCTCTTGACAAGATATTCATTATTTTTCTTTGTAAAAACCATTATGTTAAAGTGTACACATATAATTTTACCAACATATTTGTTAATACAAGAATGAGTTGCCTTTAATCAGTTTATTGCGTATTGATGCTAAACAGTAAACTCTCATTGAATCATTTTATGGTATTACTACTAGTTTATGACTAACGATAAAGATCCAAAGTTTTAATTGAAATTAAGTAAACATGAAAACTATGTAAAAAACCCGGAAAGATTATTTTTAATTCTATATATTCTTAGTATTCATCATTTTTATGGACTAATCTCATTTCAACACAGAATGAAAAAAAAAAACATGAAAAAAATATGAACAAAGGATACAGCAATGTTACTTTGATCTAAAATTGGATCATAATCATAGTAAATTTAAGATTATAATTATCTTGTTGGCAGATTTTGATCCTACATAGATTCATTTTTTTCTATTATTATAGAAATATATTTTAAACAACGAGAACAACATCTATGCATCATATTACTAATAAAATACTATTACGAACAACATAAATATCATTGTGAAAATTAAGACTGTCTAAACGTCTTCGTGGATATATTGAATAAAAATTTTTAAATAATATTCCATTCAAATGAAAAGATTTGAATTTTACTTCAATATAACAAACTCAATTCATCCTTTTTTCCTAATAAGCTCGTATTCAAAAATATTCCAAATACGCCAATGTTATTGTTCTTATGATAAATAAAGCGACTGTACATCATCTATCACTACGTTTATTTATCAATGTAATGATGCAATTAATAACCGAAGTTGTTAATAATCTTGCCTTTCTGTCATATTTCTGCATGTAATTAACTATGTATGCATTCTTTTTCTGTATTTTTCGCTCAAGCATGCGCTCTCATTAGAAACCACACAGGTGAATTTAGCTTCACCAATAGCAATGCTGTTATCGTTAGTATGTGTTCGCTTTTGCTTTCTGACTGTATACAATGATGGTAATAGATGTAAAGTAACGCATGAGCGTGTTCTATGATCATAAATATATACGATGCACTCGTGCGATACGCACACAGTGAAAGGCCATTAAACTAAAAGAGAAAATTATTATTGCGACGAATATATATATATTTAAATAAACAAGCAGTATTTCGTAACTGATAGATTACCTGGTAAACATATGTTGTCACATTTGTTTTCTACAAATTAATTTGAACAAGAAATGGATCCTCCAATTCTCACAAAACCATTAGATAAAGTATGCGTAAATTAAAAAAAAATTATTTTTTCGTATAAATATTCCTCATTCTCTTTTTTTTCAACAAACAAAAGGAATTTCATGCAACATCAACCCATGAGTCTAGTCTAGATCCAAACGCTGATGCCTGTGTTAAACTCGTCACATCAAAAAATTCTGATAATAAATCGACAATTATTATTGATTCATCATCTAATAATGGTGATTTAACTGTTACACCAGCATTTCCAAATTTTCCAACAGATGAAGAACTTATTATCCAACCAGAATCGACTATACGTCTAGAACCATCTAACGATGCCTCAGTACACGATATTAATTCCAGCTCATCAACAACAAACACTTCTCGCCCATCACAACAAACACTTCAAATACTTGATGAACTCAAATATTTACTTAAACCAACGAATTCATTAGCTAATCCACAAGCAGTCGTGCAAGAATCGGTGAAATATAGATGTGAAATATTGTTTAGATATTCATTTATATTTGTATTGTAGCAAGAAGCAGATTCGGCTATCAAACGTCGAACAGTTCAATTTGATGAGGACATATTGAGTGATGCTGATAGACTACTATATGAAGGTTTAACGCCACATGAAGCAAAATCACTTGGTGCGGCAGAACGTCGTTCAATTGCAGCACGTGGTCAACGTGTATCGAGCATTTCACAATTTTCTGAGCGATCTCGTTCAACACATTCCGCTCATCAGACTCATTCTCATTCTCAAATATCATCAACTATCAAAATTGCTAAACCTGAACGTCGTGCTTTTCTTGATCATCTTTCAGGTTTAATTTGGGCGTTTCTTGCAGCTTATGCTTTTAGTATTATTATATTTTTAACTAAAATTTGTGAAATTGATCTCGTCTTTGGTTTTTTTCTACAAATGTTTGTTCAATTAATAGCCTTTGGTATCTATGCTTTCTATAAAGGCTATAATCTATTAGGACCAAGTGAACATCAAATTGCAACTATTTGTCGTGCTTTATTAATTGGTTTTGGTGCACTTACTTCTTTTCTTGCTTATTATTATATAACATTACCTGATCTTTCGGCTATCCGACAAACTCAAATAATGTTTACAATAATTCTTTCAATGATTTTTCTTCATGGACGTGTTACTATATCACGTATTATTGCTTGTGTTTTGATAATTATTGCTATAATACTTCTTATTCGACCAAGAATATCTGAAAGATTATTTTCTTTAATATTTAATTCAACTGATTATAAATCTTCTCGGATTCCATATTCATCATCATGGAATTCTATTATTGGTATTAGTTTTGCTCTTTGTACGGCTATTTCTTATAGTATTGCATCAATAATGAATAAAATTTATTTTAGTACTCAACAATTACATAATACAGTTTTATGTTTTTGGTCAGCATTATCAGCACTAACTATATCAAGTATTCTTTTATATGTTACTCATTTTGTTTTAAAAGATGGTCGATCATTTCCTCATGATTGGAGGTTATTTGTTGGCATTGCACTTGCATTAGCATCGATTTTTGTTTTTATTGCTAATCAAAAAGCAATCAAACGTGAACGTTCTTCAATAGTAGCATTAATCTATTCAACAGATATTGTACTTGCTTTAATTTTACAAAATATATTCACACATATAAAAAGTGATAAAGTCGTTATTTTAGGTAGAATTTTTTTTTATTTATAATTTATTATTTAAATACAGATGTATTTATTTTTATATTTTGTTTAGGTTGCATATTGATCTTAGCATCTGTCTTTATCATTTGCATTGAAGTTTTATTAAAGGAAAAGCGTACAGATACATTGACGATTAAAGCAACAGAAGTAGCGAATCTAAATGAAGACGGTAATAATTTACAGATGTCACCTATTTTAAAGACAGCGCAAAAACGTCTATCCATCTAAATGATTTTTCAATCTTAATATAACATTGTAAACAAAAATTAATTAAATTATTTTATTTAATGTTTTGTTGCTGTTGTTATACGCTGCTTGCTTTTATTTAAAAAAAAAATAAAACTTACAACTCATTATACAAAATTTTCAAAACTAATGAGAATTTTTTTTTTTTATTATTAGCAATGAAAACCCCACCACCATGTCAGTCCTAAAGGGACAGTGTAACTTTTACAATTAACAGGTTACACATAAGAGAGAAAAGCAAGCATAAGCGGAGCAGAGAAAGATAAGAGCGGAATATAATGTATGTCTTATATGGCCATTCAACGAAGAATTGAAACACGACCTTCCAACGTGCACATACGATCCACCGAGATAACATACGTTGTGTGTAGACATGTTGCTTGTACAATAAGACAATAGCCGGTAAGCTTATACAATATGATTAAACAGTGTGCTTTGTTCGGGGAGGAGGAATCGAACTTCATACGCTCTGGATCCAAGTCAGAAACGTACCCCATTCAACCAGGGCTCTCCGAAAATTGATGAGAATTAACCTATTGTTGTAGCGTTTAGTTTAACAAGAACTATTTTTTATGATTTTCGATTTTTCTCGTATTCTTTCTGTAAAAATGTATAAAATTAATAATGAAAGTAGTCAAACAACGATGCAAGTCTTCGGAAATTCTGTGATAGTAATATTAACAAGCTGATAAGACAGATGGTGACACCAAATTTCGAATGAAAGTAAAGATTTATCTTGAAACTTATAGTAAAGATTTAAAATGACCGATCTTTATGCATAATGGAATAATAGACAAATATATCAAAGAAATATTCTCAATAGCTATTCAATGTACAAAACAAATAATTAGAAATCTATTGGGTGTATTCATAGGATAAGCCTCAATTTAGACAAAATAGAATTCTCATTCAAAACAGATAATCAATTATTTTTCTATCAAACAGAACTGTAGTTACCTGAATTCATTTCTTAACAACATCTCGATTCAAGAACACTGCAATGTTAATTGAAGAGATGAAAATATGCTACCAACCAAGTTCAAAAACCAAGAACAATCGAGAGAATTTCATACTTTATCACCTCATAACAAACAAACATGCGTCAATCAATTAAAATATTGACAATAATAAAACAAACGTTTCTGGAAGCAAGTGCTACTATTTACCGTGAAAATGAATTTTTAGTTCACAATGAACGTATAGACCATCATTAAATGCCAAGAAGATGAAAAAAAAGCTTGATAACTCTTTTTATGGAAAAAAGATTAAACGAACCTTAAATTATACGACGTTTAGACGGTATATATTTAGACGAAACAAACACAAAAACATTTTCAATCAATATACAAAAAAATATTTAAACGACTTTTGTTCGTTTACTAGCCGATAGATCAGGTCTAAAAGAAAATCAAACAAATAATCATCATCCACAAAGTAAAACTTACGAAGCACTACTGGCAGGGTCACCTTTTCGTTTGCTTTCAATAATTTTTGATATTTGTTGCCATTCACGTTCCAATTTTTGTTTTTCATCTTTTGGTCCTACACCACGTCGTGTTTTACGTCCATCATTCATTTTAACACCATACTGAAATGCTGCTTTTGGCATTGCTTCTTTTTGACCCATATAATCCGAATATTCTTCTGCTGTATCAAAATCCCATCGGCCAACTGGACCTTTTTTTGAACCCATATCCATTTTATCAAAATCTGGTTCATCATCAGAATCAATATTAACATCTTCTTCAGCCATTGTTCTAGTCAAAATAAAAAAGATATCAAATAAAAATCACTAATTTTCTTTTTACCCAGGATAACATTCAGCATATGAATCATCACTAAATTTTAATTGAAAACCATTTTTACTTTTTCTATTTGAATTTGATGAAGTAGTTCGTTCCTCATCCTTTTATCACACAACGAAAACCAAAAGCTATATTTAATTATTTAATCAAAATCATAACATACATTTTTAGCATTATATTTATGATGAACATTACGTATAAAACTTTTAACGGCTTCAGCACTATTCGTATTACTTTGATTATTATCATCACTGTTTGATTTTCGATCATTCTAAATAAATGTTAAACATAGATCATAATAATTTAAAGAAAGAAAGAAAGTGAAATAAGAAAAAGAATATTTACGGATTTTGAATCATTATGAAAATAAATCTTCTTTTTACTATCGTTTTCGTATTGGTTTTTTTCACGTTCATTTATTGTTGAACGTCGTTTTGTTTCAGGAATATAATCACCAATATCATCATACATACTAATATCTTTAGCTTTTTTAGTTATTGTATTTATTGATTCATGTGTTGGTTTAATATTTATTTCTGATTCAAGTCCAGTAAAAATTCCAGTACCTTTCTTCTTTTGTCGTTTTAAATCCCGTTTTGAATGACGTAAATACGAAAGAATTTGAGTTAATTTATTTATAACAATATCATTATTGCTCATAGTAGTTGTTGTCTAAAGATAAATATGAAGGTTTTTTCTTAAGATAAAAATTATTTAATATATACTTCTGCATTTGGACAATCAGCTTTTGATCTTATTAATGTTGTTGGTATATCATCAAGTGCATGTGTATTTTTTTCATTATCATCATCTTGTTGTCCATTAAGATTTTCTAAATCAATAATATATGCCATACGATGTGGTAAAAATAATTCATTAACACGACGTGGTGGTTGACGAAATAAAATTCGAAATATATTTTTAGCCAAAGAAGATTTTAAGCCTAATCTTTGTTCTTCTTCTTCTTCAGGTGTTAGTGATGTCGAAGGAAGAGGAGTTGTAGTTTCGCTTGATAGAACTTTTTTCTTTTCAATATTTGTACCAGAACCGATTGGTGTACTGAAAAGTTATAATTAATTTTGTATCAATGATACGAATACTTGATGTTTTTTTTTCAATTAAAACGGAATATGAAAAGCTTAGCAACAGAATGTTGAAAAATATGAGATGATTTGTTTTCTATTCAGTCATTTTTGTAAGATGTTAATGAAATATTATTTATATGAAATCTCACAAGAAAAATTTTATTTAATTATTAAACGCATTAATGTTATCACTTGTCCAGTTTACATCTGATGTGTTACGAATTATATTTTTTCATCTAGTTAAATGCTCATGGAAATGTAAAGTTTCTTCTTACATTTATGAGAAAAATATTTATTTTTATTAGATATGTTATGGATGAGATAGTTATTGAAAATACAAAAAAGGTTCAAGAGAAGAATAAATTAATTGCTTGATTTCTGATGATTTCTCTCGCTGAAAATCAGTTTTTATCTGTTCATCATGAATCAATAGAATAGCAATCATCGGAAATACTTAGAAATTAATGAGAACCACGAAACATGATTATAAATCAGGATTTGATCTTTAATCCCATAACTCGAGATTTTCTGTGATTTACGATGATTTCTAATGGTTTCTCATGATTTCCAATAATTTTTAAATACTTCCAGTTCATTTTCGTATCTTTAACGTTTTATAATGATTTCTAGCATGGAAATTAGTTTGCTTCTCTTTGAAAAAACGCAGAAAAAAACAGTGCTTAAGTTGTATGTGCTCATAAGACCAAAAATTTCTGTTCACATTATGATTCGCAAAAACAAACACACTAAATCTATCAAGTAAGAATTACCATCAAAATACTCTTACGGAAAAATGCCACGATAAAATGCTAAAAACTCGAAAGATAGTCCCTCATATCATGCTCAACGTGTGCTTTTCATTCCAATGTTTTGTATCTTTAATAATCTTCTCTCAGTTAGCATTCATCTTTCTCTGTGTATTAGATGAGATGATTTTCTATTGATTGTCTTCTGAGATTGCGAGAGACAATAGAAAGGAAGGAATACCATAGCTCGAGAGTACATTATATGAAACGATTCGAAATAGAAGATTTCTACATGAAAAGATCTATTTCTAGATTTTAAACAATTTTATATTTACATTTTAGTTGTTGGTTTGACAAAAACATGTTCATCTTTATTTAAAGTTGTTTGATCATTATCAACATCATCTTGTCCAATTTCAGCTCGTACCTAAAGTTTTCAATGCATGAAATAATTTTAAAAAAAATATAGATTCTAATACTTTTTGTAATAAAGCATAATCTAAACCTTTGACTAAATGTGTATGTTCTAAATCTCCACCCAAAAATTTTGATTCGTCAATTAATTGTTTTCTTCTTGCGGCAGCATCAAAATTTCCTTTAGCATCAGGTGCTACTGATTTATAATTTCCAGTTGATGTTGCTTGTTGATTAGGATTTGTAGTTAAATCTATACCCAATTGATCCTCATTTGCTATTATTTCTCGTCGTTCACGTGCACGATCACGATATTTTTTGGCTCGTTCCTCTTCGCGAGCTTTTTCTTCACGAATCACTTTAGCGTAGTATTGTTTCTTTTTTTTACGTTTGTCACTTGCTTCAGTACCACCTTCACCTCTATTGACATGAAATTCACAATTATTTACAGAAACAAAAGAGAACAAATACAAACTTGTGACCACTAGATGATTTTTGTTGAGAACTCGATGCTGATGAACCATGATAACGTTGTGATGTTGTTGAACCAGGTGCAGCTGGTGTCATTAATAATTTTCGAAAATCATCGTTTGTTAATGGATGTCTACAAATAAGAAAATTAACTTGACAATTTTCAATTGTAATGAAACTTACCCTGAACCTGTTTCACCATCATCGTGTGGCCGATAATTGGCCGGAGCCATTGGATTTGAATAATGTTCGTCTTTTAAAATAAAATTATAAGTGAAGAAAATTTCGTTGAAAATATCAAAGACTTACTCTCGGGCATTTTTGTATCAAATCAAGTAGTTGAATGAAATTTTAAAGATCAAGATTATAGTTACTTAGTATGAAAACAGTAACAATGAATGGTAGAATTAGAAAGCCAATCTAAATATTTATACAAAAAAATAAATCAAAAAAATATATTTCTTTTAACAAAGAATTTGTATTTTTCTTTAAAAATTTTCATCAGATTTTGCAATAATTTTAAAACTTCATGTTACATGCGACATCTATAGAAATAAACCTATTTTGTTCACATTTAAATATTAGTTCATCTAGTCTATTACTTTCGAACATTTCTATATTGAAAAAGACATATTTATATTTATATTTATTTTAATGGTTTCTTCGATTATTCGTTAAATAAGAAAGCGAGTAAAATGATTCATTCATATTTTTATTTTTTTCTTTCTCACAAAGGTAAATTGATTGTGATTATCAAAAACACAAAAACATGGCTTCAACTGTCGCTTCTTCAAATTATACTGCATCTGCTGGAGCAGCTTCTTCAAGTTATATAGCTACTTCTTCTACTAATAATGAGGTAGTACCAAAATTTAGCGAATATCGATCACGAGTATGTCAATTATTTTTTTTATTTATGTGAAGTAAACAAAATTATGTTTAATTTAGGTTATGCTTGGTGATCTTCCTCAAGATTTTCTGCGCATACAATTTACACAAGCACACATCTATAATCCAGCAGGACATGGCATGAGACAAGTTTATTCACCTGCACAGCTTCAGCAACAACTTCATCAAAATCCGAATTTTCTTGGCTATTTTACATTAACAATTGCAGAGGTATTTCTTTTTATTTTTGATTTAATAAAGAAAACTTAAACATTTATTTATTTAGGCAAAATTAGCAAAAAATTCTGGTTTATTAGGTTTGATCAAAATGGATCCATATGTTAGTTTTCGAATTGGTCATGTAGCATATGATACACCAACAGCCACTGGTGGTGGAAAAAATCCTCAATGGAAAGCTTCATATCGCATGTAAGAATTAATTTCAATGATTGTTTTCTTTTTTATTGATTTTTTAATTTTTTCTTCTAGTAATTTATTCAAAGGAATGGATAGAATTCATTTAGAAGTATATGATCAAGTAAATTTATTTATTTCTATATGAATTTGATGAGTTATTCTCTTGATATTATAGCGAAATTTTACTGAAGATAGTTTTATTGGTGAATGTGAAATAGTGATACCACGTGAAGTAATGGAAGGTCAAACACGTCAACATTGGTATCCATTAATGGGAAGACAAACAAATGAAAATCAAGGAGAAATTCTTATTATTATGAGTTTTTTGGTAAATATTTTTCTAATAAAATTAAGAGATATTTTAAGAAAATTTTATCAATTTATTTTTATTCAAAATAAAATAATTATTATTAATATAGCTGAGAAATGATCAGATGATATCTGATCTAAATGATCAACATCATAATGATTCTGTGCGTATTTCAATATTGTTTAGTCAATCTGTCTTTGTTTTTAATAAAATTTTCATCAATTTCTAATTCTTTGCATTGACCTCTTTTTTGTTATGTTTATAGACAATGCGTGCAGCAAACCAACCTACAATGGCAAGTTCAACTGATACACCTGTTATGAATCCTGATGGAAATGCAAATATATCCAGTGGCTTTGCTGGATCTTCATTACCAAACCCATCAGCTATGATGACTGAACAACAACAACAACAACAACAACAACAACCGATAGCAGAACATTCACCATCAGCTGTTCCAAAACCGCCACCACCACCATATTCACTTGAAGATATACGAACAATTGAAGAAATGTTTCCTACAATTGATCGTCGCGTTATAACTGATTTACTTGATAAACATCGCGGAAATAAAGATCTTGTTGTCAATCATCTGCTACAAAATATCGCTTAATTATTTTTGTATTTTTTTTCTTTTACAAATCAAGCATAAATCTTCATTTATGCATACGCATGTACATGTGCTTTCTTTGTTTCTTTTTTTTAATGCTTTTAACTAAGAGGTGACAAAAATAAACATAAATATATATCCGATGTATCATGTGTGCTGTACCAATCATACTAATGTTTATTTTAGATAGGTAAATCTTATTTAAAAGAGAATTTGATGACAAATAATAATCAGAATAATAATAATGAGGGTATTCAACTTATTGAATCGAAGTTTTGGTGCAAAGTTAAACAAAATCATGTGCTACCAATTGGCTTCCTTTTCTAATTTTTTTTATATTAAAATAAATATCTAATTTTTTTTTATTCGAGGTATGATAGAATTCGATTTAATTGTAGTTGAAGCTATTAGTGATTACGACAGACGAGATCGAAGCAAACCATTATAGCATATTCGTGCCAGAATTGAAGAGGGAGATGAGCGTAAGCTCAATAACTCGACAACCGTTACCGATCTGCAGTTGTCAGGAATTCAAGAAGAAGAACGCCGAATGTCTTTTTATCTGATACTATATAAGATAAAACTATGTTATAAGCCATCATCTTCGTAAAACATTGAAAAAATGCATGAAAATACTGTTCCGTTTCAATGTAATTTTAATCTTGATATATAGTCTCAGATAGAGAAACTTCAGATCTGTAGTTTAAGATACGATTTGAGTGATGTTTTTTCTCATATTTCAATGTTTAACACACAAAATTGCCTATCTATTCAGTCAAATTAAATAGAATTTTGTTGATTTGTAGCAAAATTTTTGACTTTTTATGAAAGTTTCTTTGAAACAAAAGACCATTTTCATAGATTCTTTTGAATGTTTTATGGAGACGATGGGTTTTAATATAATTTTGTCTTATGTAGTATCAGACAATAAGACGTCCGGAGTTCTCCACTTTCGATTGCTGAAAATTGCAAACGACTGGTTGTTACTATTGTCGAGGTATTAAGAATACACTCACTCCTCTTTAATATTGGCGCGGACATTACTCATTGATCAATATAAAAAAAAATGATAACAGATTACATGGAATAATTTCTTTAGGATTTGAATTCGCGTTTATGCGCAAGGTTCCATTGTATCTCTACTTACAGCTGCTGTAGTCTATCGATGAATGAAAGGTAGATCAGATCCTCATAATATGCATGATCACAACAGAAAGGAGCATAGAAGAACACTGTCATCAAATCGTCATTAGCGGAAATAATATATTTCTATAAATTGAACTAATCTAAAATACTCATTGCTGTTTTATTTAGTTTATTGTTTTTTATTTATCATGCGAGATATGTTTCTCTAATGTTTGTTGATATGTTTAAAAAAAAAATGGTTGTCAATACTATGCTAATCAAACAGATAGCATCAATTTACTGAATATCTTTTCATAGATTTTTAATGAAAAGAAAAAACAATCATTGTATTCTTAAATAACTACTATTTTAGATTCATTTATTTTCTGTAGATATAGAAGGATTTATTAATTATGTCATTAAATAACATCGGAGTTATTATTCAAAAAGAAAATATTATAATTTGTCAACTCATCAGTGATCTTTCTCATAAAAAACAAGCTATTTCAAACGTGCCATACCATCAATTTTACGACTGTAGGCAAAATGGTGCAGAAAAGTTAGATGCACATTCTGATGCAAAGTAGAATTTGTTTTGATGTTATCCGGTGCCCACTGGGATCACTCGTCTATAAGAATGAAATAGACTATCAGCACTAGTACATATTAAGCAAGTTTAATAGTACAGTTGACATGATATGAAAAAAATAAATATTTTTACAAACTTTTGTAAAATCAAAGTCAATCATTTGTTTAGAAATCAAAACCAGATCGGTAAAAATATTCTAATTGACATTTATAAGATGACATATTGTCAAGAACTTTGGTAGAATTTGTTTTTACGACTGTAAAAGCAACAATCAAAGCTCTTGAAGTTTGCATTTTAAAAATATGATAGCTCCGTATTAGTTCACATATGAAGGAGTCTTGAAAAAATTCTGGTTTCTGTAGATTGATCTGTCCGAACAGTTTATGTTGATGATTGTAGAACTAATCAATATGATTGAACTACAAATGATCATTCATAGATCTAGTAGCGAAAAGCATTTTTGAAATTCAAAATCATACTTTGCAACTTTATATACTCAAGACATTGTATCTGAAAAGTAGAATAGATCTTCTAATGTGTAAACATTTTCTATTCTATTTATTTTATTTCTTTGTTTTCAGATCGTTTGTCTTTCTTTATCTTTAGGCAGTATGAACAGTACTTCACCGCCATCTTCATCATCATCTTCATCATCATCAAATCGCTATAATTGTAGAAAGCTTGCATTCACTAATGGTGGTCGCACACGATTTTCTCCACCAGGATCTTCACGCTCAATAAATAATCTTAACAATGCTAAATCTGGTCCAAATCCAGTTATTTTACATAATTTACTTAAATTAAACCAACTTGTTGATACTCTAAAATCTTTAAAACGTCTCATATCCCATTATTTTGATCAAATATCAAAACAAGGTGAATCTATATTAGCTGGTGATGTGCGACGTGTATATCGTCGTATATTACTACTTTATGTTAAATATCGTCGACGACAAAATTATGAAAAACGTCGTATGAAACAACCAATTGATGAATCCGATGATGAAGATAATGATGATGATGATGATAATAATAATAGTAATACTAACAACCATAATAATGAAACAAATAATATAAATATTTCACCAACTAGGACAATGAAAAAAATAGTTAGTTCACAAAGTTTACCATTTACACGTGCTGGTTTTGATGCTGATCATGATGGTATCGAAGATTTTGATGAAATAGCATTAGCTGCAACACGTGACGTTGCTAATATACAAAATCATTGTGTTCGATTGATTCTTAATGATTATCAAATGAAATTACCTATTTATGGTTTACAAACACGGTGGGACAGTGAAATACCAAAACGACGAAAACAAATGGAATCATCAACAGCATCAGCTGCTTATAATCGAGTCGAAATTGTTAAAAAGACAGGAATTAAACCACCTAATGTTTTACCATTAATACCTTCTCATCCTTCTTCTCTTCCTGCACCTCTAGTAATAACACCAACTACAAGTGATCAAGAATTATTTTTAGGCTCACTTGCTCGTCAATTAAATGAGCAAACATGGGAACAACTTCGTTCAATTTTAGCTAATCTTAATTCTCAAACATCATTATTATCATCATCATCATCAACAACTAATTCTGAAGAACAGCTTACAAAATAAAATAAACATTGTATAATTCTTTCAAAATTGATTGACGTGAATTTCATTTCATCAAAAATTATGTGATATATTTTCTATATAGTTAGGTAGATATTTTCTTTCGTGCTAATAACTGGTTCTATACAAGATTATTTGCGTGTTTTTTTCCATAGTTTTGTCTTTCGTTTTTTTTCCCCTGGATTGTAAATCAAGTTAATGCAGATGTAAGACTTGATTGTTTGAACAACAATAAAACAGAATATGTCTTTCATATTCGATAAATGTATATCGATAGTGTGATAAAAATACTAAAGCATTGTATCTTGCTTTGCAGATTATAACGATGAATTAATAGTCATTTTCCGACCATATTCTTCAAAGAAGACATTTGGTTTATTTCGTCGTTAATATGGCTGTAAAAGAAAAAAATGTTTCTTGTAAAGATATGAGTCAGATTTTGCGTCGATGATTATTATTATCACATTTTACTGGATGCTTATTTAATGCGTTCTTTACCTCCACAAATACAAAACAAGTTTTGTTAAAATATAAAATGCCAAAACGAACAAATGAATTAAATCAATTAAATATCAACACGAAAAAGTTTGTCAATAATTCATTTTTATATAAATAACAATAGTTTGTTGTCAAATAGAATAAAATATGTTAATAAAATCTCGACATTTGAAACAATGTCAAATGAATTAATTATGGAATTATTTGAATATTTTGACTTATATTCGCTTTATTTAACATTTTATTCTCTTAATTCTCGTTTCAATTCAATTGTTTGTCATTGTCAAGTACATGTCAATCTTGATAAAATTAATCCATTATATTTTACATCATTTATTGGAAATTTTATATATACTAATATTGACAAAGGTCGAATAAGTTCATTTCAATCTTCAATACCACATCAAATAGCTGTTTTAGCAAATGATATTGTAAGTTACTTAAATATCGCAAGAAGGTTTTTTTGTATTTATCAATATAGGTTATGGATCGTTTTATTTTACTTCGATCATTAACTTTATCTCGTTGTTCTATTGATTTAGTTATACAAGTTCTTAATCAAATTGAAAAATCTATATTAGAAAAAATTTCCATAACATCTTGTAAAAGAATTATAGGCAGAAAATATTCGTTAACACAACATTTACTATCAGCTGTACGTTATCCATCGTTACGTTCAATTCATCTTAGATTGTGTGCTCGCGGAATTGTTAATTTAACTGATGTTGAGATAACATCTCAAACATTAAATAAATTAGAATATTTGTCATTAGATAAATCTTCTGAAATTGAAGATTTATTTCATATACTTGATCTTTTACCTAATCTTCAATCATTAAATAGTGTTGTAAATAATCTAACTGATTCGTTTTTAATATCAATAGGAGTAAAAAAGATTTTATCATTATCACGACTTACATTAACCTCAAGCATAATTCAAATGTCAACATTAGAATATTTATTAAAAATTTTTCCAAATTTAACATATCTTTATCTTGATTTTTCTACTAGATCATCAAACTTAATTGATTCAAAATATTGGATAGATTTATTAGAGAAAATGTATCTATTAAAACATGTATATATTCGATTTAGTATTCCATTATTTCAAACAAATTTATCTCTTGAACAAGTACGTGATCGTGTAAAATTATTTAAACGGCCATGGTTTTTTACACGAAATTTAATCAATCGAATGCATACTATTCGTATTATTATAAATGGAATACAACAAAATGAACAAATTAAATAACAGTGATTCAATTGAAACTTTTTAGGGCAAATGACGCGAAAAAATAAAAATAGATTTAATAAAAATATTGAGTAGTACATTTTATTCTACTTTAAGCCTTTGTTATACAGCAAAAACTTTCAAACACTTTACTGTATATTAACTGAGATACATGGTGTACAGTTCAATTTTTTTCTCAATTTAATGATAAAATTGACTTTATTTATTGACAAAGTTCAATTCATTTTTCAGCTCTGTATGGAAAACGAGTAGTCAAGAACAGTTCATGATACATTTAGATTTGCTCATCAAATTTCTCTGAGGTAAATAATACTTGAAAAGAATATATTTAAGTAGGTTCAACTGATTATATCAGCAGAAAAAGCATCGCAATACATTTTTTTTCGAAAAACTTCACTGTATATTTTGTCGTAAAATTTAAATACATTTTGAATAATATTAAAGGGTTGAAATTTTTGTCAGCTATATAACTATTTGAGCTATATCGAACTTAAAAATTTGAATGAAATCAGCGTGACCGTCCAGGAGTTATAGGCTAAAAAAGTTTTAAAATTTTACAGTAGAAAGTGAGGGCATACACTTTTTTTTTGAGTACTCTGATTCCTTTTACTCTACTATAGAAATAAAAAATATAAACATTTTTATATCAAAAAGTTACTTAAAAAATTCTCTATTATTTTATCTATTGTTTTCTATTCAAGTGTTTCCTCGTCTTCAGGAACAATGGTTTTTTTGTCTTGGAACATAAAAAAGAAAAAGTACCTGTCATCACGTGTTGACAACAGAAAAACATGAACGGAAAAAGTAAACATCAATGAATCACATGTTTCGATAGAGTGATGTTCAAGTTACAAAATGATTCATTTACATTTACTTTTCTATTTCTTTCTGATCTCAGACAAGCATGTTCTTTACACACGTTTTGCTAAAAACTGCCATTTTTTTCCAACTGTAAATCCTATAGCTTAGGAACGATACAAGATAGAAGCTTGAAATTTGATGTGGATATGGAAGAGTACGAAGAGAAATAGAATTAAAAAGCTAATTTAAAATCGTTCAATAACAACGAAAAGTTATAACTTCAATACTCTGAAACATCACTTATACAAAAACGGTTGCAATTTACCTAAATATTTGTATATGGAAATAATTAATTTCTAATTATTTATTTTTTGTAAATAAAAATTATATTAATTATTTTTATTACAGAACTTTTTCAGTGTGAAATAATTTTTCTTATAATAATCTATCACTAGATAGCATACTATTGTTGTTTATATTTTTGATTTCATACAGATATATAAGAACCAATCCACGTAAACCACAACCTACTGTCGTAGGAGGTGACTCAATCATAGTCTTAGATTTGTGTGATAGCTATCCCATCTTATAGAGCTTATTTTTTTAGGTATGGAACCAAAATTTTTACTCTTATTTAAGATCTTTCTGCCAAGTTCTGTTGACTTTTCGAACGATTTTTTATGAGATTTTTAAAGATTTTTATCAAGAAACAGTAGAAAAATCACCGTACTAATAGATTTTCTCCGAAGATATGGATGGCATCATGTTCACATTTTCTTTACAAGTACTAAGAAGCCAAGGACTATTTCAAGGTGTAACCACAAGTTTGAGATCTCTGATTGAGCCAAATCGGTCGTGGCTTATACGGACTGATTCATGAGTACAATTGGTTTTATTGCTGTCACAGAAATAGGGAGAATATTTGTAAACTTAATTTTTGAAAAGTTAAATGTATAAGTCAAACAAATCAAATCGATTTTAAATTAAATCAATTATGGTTTACTTTTAAATTAAAATATAAACAACAAAAACAAAGTTTTTACGTTAATAATATCGTGTGATCTTGATTAACCGTAGAATGTATTCTTCATTTACTATGTACATGTCACGTCAAAAAACAGTACGAATCAGGGACTTCAATATCAATCGAAGAAAATATAAGCTAGAATCATTGATCAAATCGACGACTGTGAAGTTGTTAAAAAAAATAAAATCAATCACTTTTGCACTATTAAGTTCATCCTCTATACTATTTCAAAAAAAAACGAGACTTGTTTATAATCTTTGATGAAAGTTCCGAAAAAAAGCTTCTGTGTAAATTTACACACATTTTAAAGTTTTCTACATTTAGTTGTTTATTTAATGTTAAGCACAAATGTTCATTATAAAGTTAAAAAATCAAGAAATATTATTTGATGGACCGTAGGCTTTCAAAGTTTAATCCATTGCATTAAATGATAAATTTAAAATATCAAGTTCTTTATTAAATAATATCTATAACATTTGTTTATAGTTTACATAAAACGTAAGCAGTATTTAATACAGTAGTATTCATCATAATTTATAAAATTTACGAAATATATATAAATAAACCCAATAAAATGATTAAGTTAATCGTACGAATAGCATCCAACGGATACATATTACTTGTAAATCAAAGAAATATTCTTCTTTAATGTAATTCGAAGGAATCCATTTTCATTTGTTCATGCTTTGAGTTACTTTTTATTTAATATCATTTTCAGTCGTTGTTGGAGTATCTGTACTTGTTACAAAATCATCCCATGCTCGTGCATCGCCTCGACATATAATTGATGCCAAATTTGACTCTGCTGTTCGTTGCTGCATATCTTTATTAAGATATGTGTATGTAAATTTCTCATTAGTTTTATGCCGTTTTTTCACGGTATTGCCGCATCCTTTTGTAGTCGAGAAGAATCCTTTAATTGTTTTGCCTTCCTCTTCAGGGTTACATTGAAAAAGAAAAGCGAGACATGAAGATGAATCACATTCATTATAAAGTAGCTAGGGACAATTGAAAATGGACTTCGACGCATAAAAGGTGGATATCTATTTCGTACGTAGTTATCGATGCAAGAGAGAATACGCAAAATAAATAAGTATGTTGTACAGTAGTTATTTTTTTGCTTTAGTATCCGATTGTTGTGTTAATTGATAAATCATATTTGTTTGAATCATTCAATCGAATTACCTATTGATTATAGGTACCATGCTTCCAAAATCAAATTTATTGTGAGTACTTTATTGATGATTTATTTATATCAACTTTTGGAAAATTCGATCTCAAAGTTCATTTAAACTTATATTATTATATCATTAAAAGACGATACTACAGCTGAATAGTTAATCGGGTTCTCTAGGGTATAACCAGGCGTTGTGTGCATGATTGATGTTTTTGCGTGATTGTCTCGATGCTTTTTTCGAGCGTCAAGCTTTTGTGATAGGTGCATTCGTTAACAAAAATAATATTATCTTTGTACCGCAATGCTGTTTCCTACGAAAGGGGTAACATGTAGTATTTTTCGAACGCATCGTGCTTACAATATCAAAAATCCGCGAAGAACGCAAAGAACGTATGATAAATAAAACAGCTGCAACAAAAGGAAGTGTTTGCATAATCATATATTCGTGGTCAATTGTACGAAGATGCTATTTTATTCAATATGTACTCACTACGTTGAGTGCTTCAGCTGGTCTAAATATTTCTACAGTATGACTGACTTAATGATTCTTATTCTTCAGGTAAAAACTGAAAATTGTTATCCAAACATTTTTATGCTCGTTTTTTTCGTTAACTTTTTTCTTGAGTTAGTAATTATACAAAGTTTTAGTTTATCAAAAAAGATTGCAATTATACTTGATAATATATCTTACATAAAAGTAGGGCTATTTACGCAATTCTTTTACGAAAATATATTCTTTTTTAATCGTCATCGATGATCTTTAACAACACATAGTCTTTCAATATCACTTTATGAGCTGTCAGTATATTAATAGATAGCTTGTTGCTGAATGATACACTTTTCAAACTCAATAATCTACTAAAAGCTATGTGGAGAACAAATTCATCGAACTTTGTTCATGGTACTATTAGTTCATTTCATGTTTGCTTATATAAATACAATTGCTACGATGTATCTGTGCTTATCTGATGAATAATATTCAATTCCTTTCAAATAATAGATTTCAATTATTCATTACTAGCGTGTTCTTAATTAAATCTTAAATGCTTATGTTAATCTCAATTAACATTAATCATGAAAAGATAGTCACTGAAAAATATCCTAAAACATTACTTTATCATCATTGTTTTTGTTGAACCGAACTGGTTTTTAAGAGTATGGAGAATCAATCAGAGGTATTTCTGTGAAAAATATAAATTATCAAATATTATAAGGATAACATTTCTATGTATTATCAAAATTCTATTTATGTAAATATAATACAACTTGTCTGATTAATTTTTATTTTGATTTATATATTTTGAAATGAACATCTTTCAATCCGGTTGCATCTAAATATTTATATTTATCAGTGAATATTATATGAAATTAACCAAACTTACAAGATTTTCATGGTTGACTAATATTATATACGATTAAATTCATCAATAAAGAAATTAACTAAAAGATAACATTGCTTGCGACAACGAAAAATATTGAATTCATCTTCGTGATTATTCTCAGCACCAAATATTCATAGCTAAACAAATTGAAAAATAGATTGATTCTATTGAGAAGAAGAAGACAAAAGACGGAATTGTAAAAAGTCATCGAAGAAACAAAATCAAGAACCGTAAATATAATACGAAATGAAGGTATAAGAAAAAGAATTTATATTGTATAAGTTTAAATAATACAATAGTTCAAGAAGATCTATTTGATCTTCATTTTCGTGATATCATTCTCATCAGTCTCTTTTATCTGTTGTGCCTTGATCAATCAAGTAAAAAAAACATCAATCGTTGGTTTTTCCATTATCATCTCATAAAAGATATAAATCGTCTAGATTTTCTCGATCTCATTTATTCGATGGAATAGTCATATCTTCGTCTCCATCAAGATAATCATCTCGAATGAACATCAAAAAGAAACGATGAAAAAAATTAATTTTATCAAACAACAAAAAAAATCGTATGGAATAATTCATTCGTTTAAATCCAGAGAAAAAATGGAACGTCAATCAATATTACAAATTGTAGATTTTTTAGATTCTTTTTAAATACAATAAATGCATTTTATGAACACCTATTTCCAATGTTAAGAATTGGGTAAACATCAATTTTCTTATATATGCGTTAAATTGCTATAATCTTATAAATATTTTCACAAAAGAATTTTTATTAAAGTAATTTTTTAAATTGCCATTTGCTCGGCACTGTTGAATGATATATAATTAAGTGCTCGTTCTTGTACTACTTGAATAGATTAGAACCTGAATATTCATAGTTTTTCAAATAAGAATGGGTAGTGCAGAATAAATGGCGGTGTAATAATTTTTTCTAATATTTTCTTCAGTTCTCACTATTTTGGAACTGGTTTTTTGATCGAAAAATCGTGCTTTCAATTCTCTATAAAACTATATACAGGATGTAACAAAACCATTACGCCCCTCTCTACAACTTAAAGTATAAATGATATCACAAAGTATTTTATACCAAATAAATGTTCATCAAAAACTGGATTTCTGATTGAAATTAGAGCAATTATTGCCTATGAAGTTATTGAAATATCTTCAATTGCATGCTAAAATCCACTCACACTTTATGGTTTTCATTCTTTATGTATATATTTTCACAAAAAATAACAGCAGATTCGTAATCTCCATCAAAACTGAATCCATAGACATGTCGTTTGTATATCTTTGACGAAAAGTAATGTTTTGAAAACAATTCTGGAAAATATCCGAAACAAAAAATTTCAAAAAAGATGTTTTTGAACTGACTCAATGAGAAAAAGATTTGATGCTCTCAAAGCTGCTGAAGGAGGTCATACAAATTTCTGAAATTTTTTTCATAGACGTACATTTGTGAGAAGTTTATATTTCTAATAAATTGAAAACTGTCATTTACAATTTAAGCTGGTGAGAAGAGGCATGATAATTTTTTTATAGACCCGATATTACAAAATCTATGGCGTTTTTATGACCAAATGAGCTCGAATCTTGCAATTTTTGCTGTTTTGTTATATTTTTCAATAAAAATAATATGAAATCCGTGATCCTCCTCAAAAACTGCGTCCACTGATATATCAATCGAGAGTTTTCAGTTCAAGAAAAGTTTTTGAAATTTCTTGTTTGGGCTACCTTCCAGAATTTTTTTCAAAACATTATTTTTCGTCAAAGATATACAAATAACACATCCATAGATTTACTTTTTGATGAAGATTACGAGTTTGCTTTTATTTTTTGTGAAAATATGTAGATAAAGCATGAAAACCATAAAGTACGAGTGGATTTTAGCATGTAATTGAAAATATTTTAATAACTTGATAGGCAATAATTGCTCTAATTACACTCAAAAGTCCAGTTTTTGATGAGCATTAATTTGATATAAAATACTTTGTGATGTTATTTATACTTTAAGTTGTAGTCGGACGGGGTGACGGTGGAGGGCGTACTGATTTTGCCACACCCTCTGTATATATATTTCTATCAACGAGAAGCATTTCCAGTTTTCAGATAGTCAATAGAAAAGATTAATTCAATATGTTCAACTTTCAACTTAGCTTTTCATGCAGAATATTGTTATCATATTTTTAATTCTCAAACTAATGTTTTTTTTCTCCTTTAAGTTGTTGTCATTTATTACTTAAAAATTTTCATTTCGAATGTAATAGTTTAATTAATTTCTGCGTTGATTGTTCGAATTTTTTTATATTATTTATCAGACTTTCAACAATCGATGTAGAAATTAGTTAGATACTATGCAACATGCTTTCATTGAGAGAAATGTACATTTTTGTAAAGAATTAAAAGTATAATCTTTTGATAAAAACAACCGATTCCAAAACATTGAGAATTGAATGACATACTGAAAAATACGAACACCATCATTTAATCTACGCCGTCCGTTATGTTTGCTTGAATTCATCAAATCAAATTTTTAATTTTTTTTAGTACGATTGCATAATTAATTCTTTTTTGTTAAATATTAATGTTGTTTTCGGTAGGAACACAATGAATCTTGTGATCATTTACCTATAGACGACATATATTTTTTGACTAACGAAAAAACAAATATTATAAAACGCTATTATACAAGGTTTATATCGGGTACATCTAGCTTCCAATCAAGATGCATAACTAGATTTAATCTATTGACTGTCAATTGCACATGATGGCTGCATTATGGCAACTGTCATATGACAATTTACTTGAAGATAAGCCTGGATTTACTATGCTTTATATATAATACGTCAAGGATGAAAAACAAATTTGTATACATGTGAGCTGTACAGATATCCTTTTCACTTCAAAATCGATAGATTGTGTACCGCTTCATACTGTTAATGATGAATAATCAAACCTTTTTTTTTTTACTATGAAAGACTTATTTTTTTTTATCTATTACTCGATTGAATAATAACAGCAGTATGTTTTATGAATCAATAAATGGTTTGAAAAAAAATCATGTGTCCTCAGCAGTATACGATATAAGACCATACGAATTTTCATAGGGTTTTTCTTATTGGTGACTCGTATAAAGTAATGAATTTATTAATTCGGCTCAATATCCTAAATATACTAATTCGTTATCATATAAATGACATCTTAAGTAGAATAAATATTGATCAATATTTTTATTGTGTTAGAAAAAACAATGTTTTGCTAATAAACGATTCATTGTATTGAAAATAAACCTTGACATTTATTGATCTACTGACTGATGTGAATGGATCATTGCATTATTTCTAAAATGAATTCACTTATGCACTTGTGTATTTAATTTTTTAATCTGGAGAAAATAAAAAAATAATTATACACAAAAGTTACGCATAACGTACAATATTTTTGTATAATGATTTCGTCCTGGCGCTTTGTACTTTTTAATGTCTACTCATGTTATTCACCAACGGCACCATTGATATCTATACATATTTCGGTGATTTCATAACGTTTCTATAGCAACCCTCCATCATGAACAAAGATCAGCTAGTGTCACCTATTCATTTTCTACAAAGCGCCAACGCAATACTTATCACACCTTGTTCCTCATTTTACACTGATGATAAATATATATAAATCTTAATATTTGGCCCAGTTTTTAAAAAAATATTCACACAATGCATTTAGAAGTAACCACTAAAGAATAAGGCCCCGAACAGACGAACAGACCGACTAATTCAAAGTGAATTAAAACTGAATTAACGAATAAAACGTCTCAAAAAGACGATTTAAATCGAAATAGACCAATCACGTTGCTTAATTTGTTTTATTTTTTTCAGTCTGTTCGGGGCCTAAGCGTTTTCGTTTCACCAGTCAGTAGATCATATGTTTTTTGAAAAACAAATAATTTTTCATTGTCTTATTGATATTTACATGATAAGAAAATAAAACAAGATGTCAGTAGATAACGATGACATTCAAAGGATGATTATAATAGCAACTTCTTATTTTATCGTTTTTTTACAATACAAAACACAGACTACAATAATCATAATCATCAAGAAAAATATTATTGGTCATCCGTTATTTATGTGCAATAACGTTTGGATAAGATCATATGGATATTTCATACGTCTTTTTCCTTGTTTCTATTATTTTTTTTCTTTCCATCTGTTGTTAATGATATAGATACATATGAATAGAAAATGACTTACAGTGCAAATACGGCTTAATATTTTTAAAATTTTCAAACTTTATTGAACAAAAATCAAAACGATAGGAATCTTTGCTTTTCTTTTAGATTGATAAATAATCAATATGAGTGACCATGATGATGTCAGTGAGGTTTGTTTTCCCTTGCTCTAAAAAAAAATAAACAAGTGCTTCTATTGATTTGTATACAGGTTGTTGAAATTGATTTTGAAGTTGGACATAGTTCAATAATTCGATCAGAAGTCACAACTAGTCATAATCCTCCACGTACTCATGATTGGAAAATATATTTACGTGCAGCTGATGTGAATGGTGATTTAAGTTGTCTGATACAACGTTGTATATTTTTTCTTCATCCTGAATATCCTAATAATAAACGAGGTAGATTTCTATTTAACGAATATACATATCTATATCTATTCGCGCATATTTGAAATAATGTTTAGAATTAAAATCAACACCATTTGCTATTCAAGAAACCGGTTATGCTGGTTTTCATTTGGTAATAATACTTTTTCCTTTTATTCCTTTGATTTTTCTTTATTTTAATGTTTTATTTCAGCCTATAGAAATATATTTCAAAACAAAAAAGGAACCAAAAAGATTTCGTATTGAATATGATCTTGATTTACATAAAAATATCGATGGACATGCATATCGACAAAAAGAAAGCTATGTACGAAAATATCGTTGTAGTTTTTACAATCCTGATTCTGAATTTCGTCAAAAGATTCTCGCTGCTGGTGGCGTAAGTTGGTTGATTTTCTTTGTTGTATTTATGATACATAAATGAAGAAGCGCACATCCTTAAGAAAGCTTATTAATTTCTCCCATTTATGAGAAACCAATGATTAACGTCATGATTAAACGAATATTACTTTTTTCCCCTGTTAAGATTTTCTTTCGTAGCAGGTAAATAAAGGAAAGGAAAAAAAAAAGACGGTGTAAATCAGCTGAGTAAAATGACTCAAAAAAATATATATTCGTATAAAATCAACCTGTTTTTCTTTCTCTTATAATATTATTATTTTTTATCGACAATCTTTAACAAAATAATGAGTAATAAAAGTAAAGAACATCGGAGTGTTTGTCGTTTAACTGTTGTTGTAAGTTTTTAATTCATTATTTCTATTAACTCATATATATATATATATATTTCTATATATATAGAAAATAGTCGATACTGGTCCAATAACATCAAATAATACTGATACTGATAGAAGTGGTATAGATGAAGGACAAGTATCAGTGCGTGAACCAGTTATTCGTCATTCTCCACAACAAAAAAGACCTATTTCACCAGTGCCAACAGTAAATGTAGTTAATAATAAAAAAGTTAAACTTGAACAATCAACAAATGATATCAAGAAAAAATCAGTACAATCAGTAATTAAGAATGAAAATATTAGTAAAACAATAGTAAATCCTAAACCAACAAAATTAGTATCATATAAATCATCATCTGTGATAGAAGCAAAAATAACAAAAGCTTTACCAATAAAAGAATCAAATCAAACAACAACTAATAATGATAATGCTGAGAGTAAGAATAAGTTTAAAAAATTGAAAATTTTTATCTTATTTATTCTTCAGATTTATCATTATCTAAACCACATACATCAACAAAATTAATTAAATCTCAATCAACTAATGATATTAAACCTTCTATTCAATGCACAATAAATAATACTAAAAAGAAAGAACCTGCTCTTTCTCCATCAACACCTAAACCAGTCACAAATATACAGAATGGATTAAAAAAGTCAATAAATAAAAATCCTCAAAAACCTTCGATCAAAACAGAACAAGCGTCAATCTCTACGAGTAAGTCACCTTCAAACATCATTATTAAACAAGAATCATTATCACAACCATCATCAACTAACATTTCAAATAATACAAATACATCAGTTCCAATTAATAATCTTAAAAAGATTCCTAAAAAACCTCAACCACCACCAATTATAGAAAAACATTCTCGTTCATCGATATCTTCTTCATCATTAAATCGAAATTCGATTCGAGTAAGATAAATCGAAATTTAATCTTACATGCATTTATATTATATGATTATTTCAAAGGATTCACAAGGACAAAAATCATCGTTATCTAAAACTCAATCAAATTTAAAACGAAATCGTTCTTCATTGTCTGTTAATAATTCTAATAGTAATAATCGATCAGAAAAAGCTAATATTACTAAAAGTAAATGAATGAAACTTGCATACTGAAATGATGAAAGAACATTTATGGATTTTAGATCGTTCCAATGATTCAACACATCAGTCTTCAAATTCATCTCAACACAAACAATCAAATCGTATTTTATCACCTCATAAATCATCGTCAAAAACTCAACTACCGATTCCTCCTAAACTCATTCCTAGTCCTTGTCAATTCCAGATTGGTCCTCCTATTAGCTCGACTATCTCATCATCATCATCATCTATTGATACATCTCAGCCATCAATTACTAATTCACCTTTCAATCATATCGTTCAAAATGAAGAGAATCATATTCAAACGTCCATGGATATTGATGATGATCGTATACAACTTTCAGATAAATCTAATTCACGTAAATATTTAATTGCAAAATAAAAGAAAAATTCTTTATTTAAGTTTTATTTTTAATTTTAATTTAGTTCATGAACAAAGTCTTACTCAATCAATGCAAATAACATCAAATGGAATATCTCATTCAGATCAATCTGACATGAATGATAGTGATACATCAATAGATGATGGCAACGAGGAAGAAGATTTACCAACTAGTCTTACTAATGACGATTTACGATATAAACTTATATATATTTATAAACGTTTTCAATTAAATTCAATAAGTGATCTTACAATATTTGTTCGTTTCTTTAAACGACATCAATTAATTGATACATCATCATTATCAATGACAAAAGCAACAAATGAAATGTTTACTTATGATCTTTTTTCTCTTAGTCCATCACATATTGGTGAATTAGCAAGTGATCTTGGTTATACAACAACAAATATTATTAATTCCATGGAACAGTAGTTTTAAAAATATCTGGAATTAATCTGTGTTTCTTTTTATTTTGTTCTCTTATTTGGGGTATAGTGCTTTGTTCATTATTAATCTGTCTTTCACGCATGTATATAGTTCTAAATGTAAGAATGATATCTAATAGACAATGGGTTTGTCTCTTTCAATTTTTGTTTGTCTTATTTCTTTTTCTCTCTTTATTTATTCAGTATAACGAAAGAATAATAGATAGACAATGTATTGCAATATTTATGTGTAATATAATTTTATTTGAATGAGAAAGATAAACATTCAATTGTAGAAAATTTGAACTTTTAAGCAATTTGATATAGAACATATTAGTGTATAGCGCAAACAATCATTCAATAAAAGTCTTTTTTGTTAAAATTTAGTTCTTTTTTCATTTGAATAAATGCTGAGTAGCGATTGTTCATGTAAAGTATTAAAATAAAGTTTTGAAAATTTCTATACACAGTGCTTCTACAATGTATATTGGATCCATAGAAACTAGACAAACAAAGTTTGTAAGGATTACATCGTGATACAAGATGACTTACATTCTTTTTATGATTAATACAAAAGCAACTTGGAAACCAAAATTACAATACGATTTAGCTCGACTAATGTATGTCTGTAACGAACAAAATTTTACACCGTCATATTGATTATTTTGAATCGTTCAAAACTATGCTTTTAAACGGAGCCATGATAACAGAATAGGTAACTTCACTAATAAACGCGCTGGTAAGCAGTCAATCTTATCGTTCAAGTCTTCTGAACTTATGTGGAGACGACTAATCTTTTCTAGTTCATTCTTTGTAACTAAAAACAAATAAGAAAAAAGAATATGACATTATTTATTTATAAAACATCTTCAACACATATCTATTGTACTTACCTTATCAGCATCCTTTTCTTTTTTTATAACTTTTTCTTTTTCTGCATCTATTTAACAACAGTTTTATACAACCAAGCATTACCGATTGAAAGAAAGAAGAATAAAGTGTACGAGGCATTTGCTACATCATCCAATACAATTTTTTTCTACCTTTTATGACAAATGATACTGTATGTATTCTGTATGCTGTTGCAACCTTTTTTTAAAGATTATTGTGTATTGCACATAGGCATACATACAACGACTATTTTCATGTTGAATGTGAGGGTTTTCGAGTGACTTTTACCAACTAATTGAGATGACAGAGAGAAAAAAAAAGAGAACAAAAAGAGTCACGTTTGTCTGATAAGTAACAAATATATAATAAAAGACAAACGTAGATTGTTGACATATGTTCTTTTTAAAAAAAACCTGTATAAAATGTTTGTCTTGTGATTTGCGTTTCACAACCAAAAAATGATGCACAAGCATAGTAATAGGGCAATTACAAAAATTGGTAGGTTGCTTTGTTGTAGTGACGCGATTACCGTCATTTAAATTGAAGGATTAAATCAAAACTCATAAGGCATTTTTTACTGATCAACTAAATATTCAAATAAACGAGGTAAGCATAATCTCAGAAACGACTTTATGACTATTGTTGTTCAAATCATAAGTTAAAGGAAAAAGTCAAGATTAATAAAATTCCAACCATTGGCAAAAGCTAAGATAACACCTTGTTGAGGATACATAATGTTGAAATGTGAACGAGTCTTTCCTTGTTGATTACAGAATATTCTTTTATAAGATTGGAAAAAATCTAGAAATAAAATATAAGCTGCCTTGTTCTGTTTAGTAAACTGATTAAATTCAAATCATATCAGCCTATTAGGAGCCTTCATTTGTCATGCATGTATGCATTTGGTTTTCTATTTAGAAATCTTCTCTCATGCGTATTTTATTAGTTGCATACACTCAGAATATCTTCTGTTTGTTTCAAAATAAAATTTTCTAGCCGTATCCTATTTGTTAAAGTCTTTTTTCTTAGCAAATGCCAATCATACAGTTTATTTCTATTGTTCCATTAATCTTTTTTTTTTCTTTTCTTCTTTTACAATCATTTCAAAGTTGAAAAACCAACAAAAAGACAAATACGCAGACATACACACACATACACACAAAAGCGCACGTTACAAGCTTGAAAGAAAAAGAAAAAAGAAAAAAAAGTGAAAATCCTATTACCATTCTCTGTTCAGAAGCGTGCCGTGAACAAGAGAATCGAGTAAGAGAGAAAGAAATCTTCACGACTATTCGCGAAGGTGCATACATCGTTCTAAAAATGACATATATTCTCTATTTTACTTTTTTTTTTGTTTATTTCGGCTTTTCTTATTCACTCTGATGTTTACATTGACAATGTGATGAAATATTTTCTTTGTTGAATTTATCGTATATATGACCTATGAACTTAATTTTAGGATATTTTGTAGATTTATGATTGTAGTGACTGTAACCCTTGTCTGTAACTAAGGTCAGTTTTATGTATATAAAAAGATAACAAGATAAGACACTGATTTGTTATTTCATAAAACTTAATAGTAATTCTAAAGTTTGAATGGATTTAATTGATAAATACAAAATTTGTAAGTGTTGAATTCATTGAAATATGGGTATACTGGGAAAATGTTGTTTAACTAAGTAAGAAAAAATAGAAGAGCCTAATGAGCAACATGCCTTCGAGGGTAAAGAAATGTATAAAATTGACTGCATTCTCTCGTTTTTTTGCTTCTCAACTCAAATTCTTTTATTGCACTTGGCAGAATAAGGACGCGTGTATTTTCTCATTTTGCATTTTCTTCTTAACTAGAATTCTATCGTATTCATTCTTTATTCATTTATCATCGTGAAATTTGATTTATTTGCATCATTGCACCTTTTTATGAATAGATTCAAAATTCATCTCTACTATGTGGAATTTTATATATGACGTCAATACTTTGTAAGCAATGGCCATCTAATGTGTTTGTCATTGAGTTGAATCTTTTTCTTTTTTTCTTTATTTCAAGAAGAAAAAACGAGAAAGAAAGTAACAGACAACTAGTAACGATGAGATGGTCGTTGTCATCATTGTCGTCGTATCATTTTCTCGTCATTCCTTCTTTCTTCTCTCTTTTCAGTCTCTTCCTTCTTCTTGACGACAGTCTGTCGCTACAGCACTGCAATACACCTTCTATAGTATTGCGCTCTTAAGATGTTCTCTTTACCGTTCTCGCAAAAGAGCATTATATTTTCGCGCGAGTAATTATTGGAACAATACACATACACAATGTTGCTATGCAACTGAGCCTTGTGTTGTTGTTCAAAAAAAGAGACGCTCGCTCGCACACACACCGGAGGAGGCCAACATACTTTCAAATTTGGCATGTAAATGAAGAGAGAAAAAGGAGAACGACGAGAGTGAGAAATATAATTGCTATACAAACAAATCGATTACAGAGTGAAGGTTATAACAGTTAGATTTCCAAGTAAGAAAAAAGGCCTCTTCAGATTAATTATATCGTGAAATTTTCACTATTAAATAATTGATGATAATTTCATCTTTTGATATTTACGATTTGTTGATTACATATATTATTCGTCCAAAAGAAATTTTATTAAATAAATTTATAGAGTTCGTTGATTCAGCAGTAGAAGAGAAAGAAAATTAGAAAAACGTTCTGTTACACACGCATCTATTCGACTGATTTGATTTTTCGTTGCTCTTTGTACCATACATCCATCTATCAACCGATCAATAGTAAAAAGAGAGTTGGCCACATTTTCTGTTTACAAAACATTGATCAGGCAACCTTATTATTGCATTCTATGAGTTGAATTGGCGAAATCAAACAACCTGAGTTGAAGTTTATACTTGATTAACGATAAAATTTTTGAAGTAAGTGTAAAAAAATACAATGAACAATATCGTATTGTTTAGGTAATATGAAATAATGATTTCATAAGAGTGTCGGTCTAGTTGACCTACTGAAGCCTATCGAAAACATTTCATTCTACAGTACCAGAAACTTTTTTTAATTCTTCTTCTTCGTCTTTCAGATTGATACTCGGCGATGACAATAATGACGACAAATATACTCTTACATTCAGCATCACGACCTAAGCTTATTTTTTGTCTTGACGTTTACTTTTGGGCTTCTTACTTCACATCATCATAGTTTCATCATCATTTGCTTCTTAGTCTCTTTTCTCTCTCCTTCTCTCTCTCTCTCTCTCTCTTTATTTCGATTTCATACATCCATATACATATATATATATACATTCATATATATTAAAATTCTTCCCTCAAAATGCTCACTGAATATGATCCACATCATGGTCAGAATGACCATCAACAGCAGCAACAACAACGTTCAACAATGCTTGAACGTGGTCGAGCTGTAAAATTAATGAGAAATGGAGATTTATATTTTCCTGGACGTTCATTCGTTATAAATCAACGCAAATATCCAATGCTTGAAGTTTTGTTAGATGATGCATCACAAGCATTACGGGCCAATTTTGGTGCAGTAAGATGTATTTATACACCTAAGAATGGTACCCGATTACATGATATATCTGAGTTAGAAGATCATCGAACTTACGTTGCATCTGGAGGTGAAAAATTTAAAAAACTTCAGTAAGAATGTTAATCAATTATTTATGATTAAATTCACTATACTTTTATTTTTAGTTATCTTGATATTGCAGAAGGTAAACGCGTTCAAAGTAAAGATCGAATGCAACCTAAAGTAAGTATAATATACTCGACAATATACTTTTTACACTTGAATTTCTTTTATTTCATCAATACACTTATTGATAATCATAAACTTTACTCTTATTTTAATCAAGTATTGAGTAAATCTTTTTATTTTGATCTCTTTAAAGGATCACTCGTTATAAGTGAGATAAGATAATAATAAATTGAGAACTAGGCATAGATTCTTTTATTATATGATAAGTACAATAGCAAAGCTCTGTCTTTGAAATGTAATTTTATTGAAGTCATTTCAATAAATTTTGAATTTTAAATTTTAATTTTCTGCTTGTTTTTTACTTTAGTTACCACCTGTTCGACGTCTTGACGTTGAAGGGCGAGCATTAAAATTATCTCGATCAGAAAATGTTATTATTTAGTAAGTCACATTTATTTTTGTTTTATCTATCAAATAAAACTATTCTTTCATTTTTAGTGTCTATCGAAATGGTGATCCTTTAACATTACCAGCAAAAATTCTTTTGGTTAAAACAACATTACAAAATTGGGAATCCGTTCTTGATGAAATTACTAGAAAAATATCACCTACAAATTCGGCTGTATTAAAGTATTTATATAAATCTTATTGGTTTTTTCTGTATCATATATAAAAAATATATATTTTTCTTTAGATTATATGCAATGAATGGAGAATTAGTAACATCATCTCAACAACTTGAATTCAATGGAATGTATGTTGCAGCAGGAAAAGAACGTTTTAAACGTATTGAATATCCCGATCCAAAATCCTTCAGTCCAAATTCATCACCAAAAATGTCAAGAAAATCGTAAGTAGAACTAATTTATTTGTTGTTTTCGAAGATAAATATGAACGAATATTAAGAAAAAAAATGTAATCAACATATAACAATTAATGTACCGGAATATTTTTATTTCACTTTCTGTTTTTCTTTCACATTCAATTAGATCGAATTTCCAATTTTCTGGGTAAGTACTAAGGCACCCGATGTGTAAATAGCACAGCAAAGAGTAGCGTGTTATTTGCATCGGTAGACAAGCAAAAAAAAAAGAAAAATCAGAATATCTATACTAATAAAAAAAATATTTAACGATCTTAGTATTGTGTTGATACATGTAGTTATTTATTTTTAACAAGTCGCATGGTCTTCATTAAGGCAAAAGTATCTCATAAATTTTTGTAGTGATCGTGCTCGAATGAGATTACCTGCCCGACAAAGGAGAGTAGAAGATTATAATGATGATCATCCATCAACGCACATGCTTCATTCCATACAAGACAGGTATTATTTAACAATATATATCTTCAACTCCCGTCGATACTATTATCTATTCTAATCAACAGATGACTGAGTGTTGAAATGCGAAACCCTAAAGATAGCATAAATTTACACTGATTTTGTTGTTCTTCTGCTTCTTAGATTTTCAATTAATATTTACATATATTATAATTTGGTTTCTATTATTTATTTATTTATTTTATTTTTATATAGATATACGAAATCGGATGGAACAAATACACATACGACAACAGCAAATTCGCATGGAAGTATTGAACATGCTGGACAGTAAGATATTTTAATTAATTATTTTAATTTAATTGATATATATTTTTAAGTCGGCGCCCTGTTCGAGAAGAATATGACTTTTTCAATAACAAACCACAACAACATCGACGTGGTCCAACTAAAGAAACAGATCTTGATCGAGGTTATATTTGAAGATAAAAAGAAAAAAGAATGATATCATAATTAGCTAAAATTTTGTTTAGATGATGGAGGTATTTATAAAGGTCGTTTAAATCATCGAGAACATGTACGTGAAATCGATGAAACACGTGATACAAAAGTTGATTTGCCAGTAGATTATCGAGAAGTTGAAACTGTTGAAGTAAGATATCTAGATGTCTCATTATCAGCTTATTTTTCTTCGCAATTTTAGGAAGAAAGTTTGTATGGCAATACAGGAGTATGTTATCTCTTTTTCTTGTATTTTTTATAAATATTATTATTATTATTATTATTATTATTATCTAGAAAACACCTCGTCGTCTTCATCAACCACCAAGCCAACCAAAGACCAATCAAGCTTTTGCCGATTCGCCTCAACGTTCACCACCAGTACGATCAGTAAAAGTATGTTGTTTTATGTAAAAGTGAAATTTTAATTTGCGTTTTTCTTTGCGATATCTAGACTCCACCAAAGAATTATGATGATGATGATAAAAATAACGATAGATTTGGAATGAATAACGGCTATCAACATAAGAATGATCATAATAATAATACAAATAACAAAGGTTTTGATGAAGATTATCAGCGTCGTACGCCCCCAGCACCAACACATGTAGATGATGAAATAAATGATGATCGAGACGAACAACAAATACCTCATTCAACTCGTCAGAAACAGATTTCTTCACCAAGTACACAGGTATGGTTACGTGTGAACTGACTTTGTACTCGATTTTGTTTTACTAATATTTTGAACAATGTGCATTTCGTGTGCGTGTGAGCTTATAAACTTCTTTATAGCCTAACAGAAAAGATGAGAATCATGCTGCAACTGTTATTCAATCACATGTTCGTGGATATCTTGCACGTAAACAGAGTCACTCGGAAAAGCAGCAAAATACTGACAATTTAACCAATAATCATGATCAACAACGACATGAGGCATATAAGCACGAGGAAAATAAATTAAATCAACATCATCATCAGCCACAAACAAATGAGGTGAACGCTTTTATTTTTGTACTAATATCGCTATTGAAGAAAAAAAAACACACGGCTTTTTTTTGTTGTTGTTATATAGTTAAAGTATAGTACGATTGAGTCCTTAGCTGATTTAACTGCTCAACGAGCCATAACAGAAGCTTTGGTAGTAGATAACAAAAAAAGAAGAAAAAAAAAGGGTATTCTTTTTTAATATTTTATTTAACCCTTATAAATCCTATTTGTGTAATTTTCTTTTGTTTTGATATTTAATATCTCTAGATTAACGATTAACTTATAAATATTTGATTCATATGCTTATTTCCCAAGTATTAGTTTCTAGAATATTTTCTCATTTTTCATTTTTAATATTAAAAGCAACATGAAATCTGATAATATCTCTTATTTTTGTCCGCTTTGATAATCTTATTTTTGATGAATCTATTTATAACTTTCTTTTTCTATCTGTAGCGCCATGATGACGACGATGATAATGTTTAAAATTGTATTCAACAACGTCTGAAAAAGACTTCTTATCCTACACATCCTCCTTCAAAATGTTAACCAAAAGAACTCAACATATTATGTATATGCATTATATTTTAATGATGATGATCTATTCGAATCGATCATTTTTTTCTAATTTAAAAAAAAATATGTTATTACATTTTATTTGTTCTTCTTTCGATATATCTTTATCTTGCTTTCGCTTACAATTTTTTTTGTTACTTAGACGAATTTTTTGCTGTAGGCATCATCTGAACGCATTCACCAGTAAATTATGGCTGTGGCAACCTCATAACAAAGTTATTGTTATTCTATAGAAAAATATTGATATGAATATTGAATATGTATATACAATTTTAGATGAGTTTGATTTTAACTTATAGAAAATTCAAAGTTAAGAAATTGATGAAACAGATTTTCTTCAAGTAATGATTTGAGTATACCTGGAGAGATTCTAATTAGTACCTGTTGTTTTGAATAAAGCAGTATCTTCAATGACTGATTATTATACTGATAGCCTATATCAGCATAAGTTATGTTAATTAAAATTTTAGTTTTGAATAAAAATCAATTCAAACTTAATAGAGCTAAATATGACAAAAAGATTTTTGATAATTATTAACCCTTTGAAGACTGACTTATTTTTTATAGAAACAAAAGTAATTAGATTTTCGCTTACAAAATCAATTATAATGGAAAGCTATTAAACATAATTTTTCATTCAGATTTTATGCAAATTATGAACACTGTTTATTTTGAAACAAGAGAAACGGAACATACATCGGAGAAGTATAATAAACAAATTTAATAACATATGAGAAGAGGAAGTTAGCATTAAAAAACTTTACATATATAGCGTGAATCAGTCCTCTTTCATGTCTTCGACTATTGTGTGCACATACAACACAAACTTTCTGAAGAGTCTTCCTGTGTGCTTTTTTATGCATAAGAGATGGAAAGTGTCTAGTAGCATGTCTGATTGATTGCTAAGTCAATGTAGGACAACCTATTGCAGATGATGGACTACACTAAGCTATATATATATTGTATTTAAACTATTCCACAACGTCTATATGTGTGTCACATATACTGGGATACAAAGTTCATACTGAAAACAACAGTTTTAGTGTATTTAAGGGCTTCTTGTTTTAGTCAAATTTCAAAGCCATATATATACGGCCATGATCCCCAAAGGGTTAAATACTCAAAAAAGACAAGTGTAATTCTTCGATGGAAATAAAACAATATACAGACAAAGAAATATAATTTAAAATTCTTTTGTGTCTAATTAGGTTTTTTTCAACAGATAACAAATAATAAAAATACTTCAAGCATATTTACTGCAAATAAATTTATATTTGTATCAAAACAGAACAAGATTTAGTTACAACAATCGGTTGAAAGCTATTCGATCTCATATTGCATGATATAAAGTATATTATAATTGCTACTTCAATAGAAAAAAAAGAGAATTGACTTATAAATTAGTCATTGTTTCTTATCTCTATGTGTTACTAATTAAATTTTGTATTTTTTCTTTTCTTTTCTTTTCATATTATCTCCATGTTTAAACAGAGCACAAGAAGTATACTTTCGTATTTGATATCGATGAGTAAGATGTACAAGAGTAGTTAAAACAGCTACACCTGGACTTGTCTGTTCTTTCATTTTTTGCAGCACTACTCTTATCATCATCTACAGTTTCATTTTCTGTTTGGAATGTCGGGAATAGAAAGAAGAACGAGCAAGACATCGTTATGTTTTTCTTTGTTCTTAGTATGATGTTGACTGAGTGACATAGTTAGTTAATCATAATTGTTTTCTATTTTATTTTGTTCACATGATAGTCTTCCTTTTAAATATAAATTTGTAGTCGTACTTCGAGTGTAATAAATCATTCTGATAACTCTAATTAGCCAAAACAGTATGGGTGCAAATGGAAGTAGTGAGATTCAAGTAAACTTTAATCATCCAAATTTATTCTATTTTGCTGGTGAACAAATATCAGGCAATATTTCATTTCAAAATACACAAGACAAATTAATGTTAGATGCAATTTTTCTTGAATGTGTTGGTGAACTTGGATATACAACACAAGAACACCGTCATTATCATGATAAAGATGGACAACAACGAACAGAACAATATACAAAATATCATCAAATACCGTTTTTAAATTTTCGTGTTATTGTTGCTCAACCTCAATATGGTCAAGTAAAAAATCTAAATAAAAAATAAAGAATTTATTAAAAAGACTTTTTTAAAATAAATTTTAGCGTGAAATAACTCTTTATCGTGGTCAGCATTCATGGCCATTTGAATTTGTTTTACCCTCGAATTTACCTCCATCATTAATTCCATCAACAATTTCATATCCTTATGTTAAATATTATACACGTATCGTCCTTGATCAACCATGGTACAAACCAAATGCTAAACAAGTTTTCCCACTGACCATTTTTCCTCGTGTTAATCTTCTTCATATACCAGGTGGACAACAACAAGTAGCTTTTTCAAACCAAAATCGAAAGAAGATTCGGTTACAAGGATGTTTAGTTCGAGGTGGCGTTTTACCTGGTGAAAAACTTGCGATTCATATTAATCTTCAAAATCCTAAGCGAGCAGAAATTAAAAGAATTGAAGTAACATTAATTCAACATCGACAAGTCGCTCAAAATTGTCATGCAGAAGTAATATTTCGACTAGATTTACCAGATGTACGTGACTTTAATGATACAGAATTACGAAGAACTTTTGATCTTACTGTTCCTGCTGCACATTTATCTCCTACCTACACATATATGCCACCATCTTTTACTCTAACACTAGGAGTTTCAATCAACTATGAACTGATATTAGATGTAAAAGTACGTGGGTTATTTACTGATTTCAAAATAAGTGTGCCAGTCATTGTTGGTACTGATCCAAGATCAGTTGAGCAACAACAACAACAAATGAATTATCCGATGGAAGTACCTACGGCTAGTGCTCCAGTATTCGAGTATGATGAGCCACCGCCAAGTTATGATGCAGTAGTTGCAAATCAGAAAATATAAAAATAAAAAACTGTCAGTTTAGTTTTTGTCTTGCCAATGTATTGTTTTGATTATTTTCTGTTTACAAATTTTCTTGTATCAGCGAGAAAAATAAATAAATAAAATGAATTGTTTCGAACATCATCATTGTATCTTTAAGCAAAATGATAAAATATACAGTTACATGAATAAATAGAACAATTCTTATGATGAATATCTTTCAGATTGAATGCTAGTCATTCAATCGTCTACTTAGCTATTTCCACTATTGTAATTCATGATACATTTTGTTCTGATCATATGTACTTCAATCTCCCTCTGTACGATACAGAGATAAAGGAAGCACATTATTGTTTTATTATGATTTTCAAAATAAAGTACATCAAACAACAATGTCATCATGCATTTGTTTATTTTTTCTAGTCTGAATTGGTTGCGCTCAAGGTGAACTAAACAATGAATCACTTATATATACTTGGTATCCAACACAGACAAACAATGGCGTCACTTCATCGCTTTCTTACTGCTTATATAACATGAAACAAAAAATTACACAGAAAATGATGTTAATTAAACAAAACATTAGTAACTAGACTGTGAAATCATTAATTAATTCACTTAAATGTTGATTCAAAAGTGTACATGCTCAATATCATGTCGGGTGATCGATGCTAGTGGATATATTCATAACTTGATTAAATGTAAAGAAAAAACGTCGCTGCGAATAATCAGCTATTCTGAAAATCTCATTTGTTCAAAGGAAAACGAAGTCGATGAAACAAAAGCAGCTTGGAACGTGCTAAGCTTTAAATAAAGAATATCAATATTTCAACTGAAACAATACACTGAACCAGTAAAAACTTGGAAAAAAATCAAAACTATGATTAAGACTAGGACCATAGTAGTAATCGACAAGAATTATAGATATCTCTCTTGTTTTTTGATAGAAAATAATTGATTAGTTAAATATTATTTCATAATGATAATGATATCCAACATTTATCTTATTTTTCGTTACGATAAAGAAACAATACAAAAATCGAGCACTTTTGTAGAATAAATTAAGAAGTGATTACAACAAACATCAAAGTCATAGGCATTCAATCTTTATTGTTTTTCAACGATAATGTTTGAAGTGTGCCTATTTGAACAAAAGTATTTAGAGAGTATGTGAAAGGATAACTTGTTTAGGAGAGTTACATTCCCTTGTGTACCTCTATTTGATAGTGTCTAGAATTCAGAAATTCGAATTGAATTTGATTTTTATCGTAAATCATTTTAATACAAGCTTTAAGATACTTTCGATTATTTAGTTATTGACATGTCCATTCATCAAGAATTTACTGGATTCTTCTTGACTCGGTGCAAAGAGTAGAAGTATCATATTCTCACTCGTTGCGGCTTTTACGTTGATTTTCACTTCTTTGCTGATAGATTTTCTCATGACCAATATTTGTCAAAACTTTCACAACACGAAATACTAAAACAATTTTCAAATTAGGTAAATTAGTAATAGAAGTTTTTTTATAGACTAAAACTGGAGAATTGAATTTGTGAATATATTTGAAATCGTACGACTTTGATAATTATGACAAAGGATGAGGACAGATGAGATCATTCTCTTGCACCTATAATATTTCCCTTTTTAATATTAAATCAAATCAACGCGGATTCCTGATGATAAACGCAAAGACTTATTTCATGATACCTTTCAATCAATTTTTGGAGCGGCATTCTATTCCTTCACACGAATAGCAGAAAACTATTTTTGACGCTCTTGTATGAATGTAGGTAGAAGAATCGGTCACAAGATATTGCACAATAAACCTCCGCTCTATCATCAGAAGTCCACGTTGACTTGATTTTAATATAAAAAACTGAGATACTTTAGAGACGAGAAAATGTGCTTATCTGCTCTGAACCTTGCAGTAGCGAGTAGACAATGGTCTCTATCAATTCCAGCTTTCTCAGTATCTCCATTATCCATCTATTATTGTTGTTGGTTTAGAATAACTTTCGAGAACACTAAAGAAAAATTCACAAGTTACATTCGATGAGTCAAACATTAATTAACAAACTTTTAATGCAGTCATGCAATAGAAAACGCATTTATCAGTTGAAATTAATTGGTTATGCATGAGAAATGATGCAAAATGGCTGAAAATGAGAAATTCCACAGTAACCATTATTAGAGATCGAAATTCGATGTAGTCTCTGAAAAATGTAATTTAGAATACCGTCTGAATATCCTGATGCCTTTTCTTTGCCATGGTCACATTTCTGAAGATATTTTTCATCTCTAATTGGCACAGTTAATGATATGAGAAAGTTCAACAAAATGTTTCTTCATCTGCATCAACCAGTTTTCTATGAAAACTGCTACAAATGCAAGAGGACTACTTTTGTTATTAAAATGTATCGTTCTTACTCTCAAAGTTTATGATATCTTTACATGGCCGTTTACTGTACAATATCAACCGCATTTCTAGAGATTTGTCTCCACGGACATACAATAAATGATAGGCCTAAGATGAATTAATGAGAGCCTATGTGATAATGAACAAGAAGGAGTTATATTGGTTGCAGATTGAAAGGTGTGTCGATTCATCAGAAAATGAATCAAAGGTCATTCAATACATTTTATAACAATTGAAAGAATCGAAGTAGCGTTGAAAAGATTTTAACAAGCATAGTTTCACTTCTTTTTTTTCTTGATTGCAATCTCTTTCTTTTGTTTTATTTTCGAATAACATCATATTTTATAATTGCAAGGTAAGCGGAAGCTGGTGTGGAATACAACTTGAGAATGACCTGATAATTGGAGTCGCAATCTTGAATTAGATGACAACCATCTGTTCTCATGTCAACTTCCTTGCCATCGATGATCTGACAAACACGAGAAGTACCCCTTTTTAGCTGTTCATTATCAATGGAAATTGCATAAGGTTGTTGCTGTTGCGTAAACGGTGTTTCAATGATTAATGTCATATCATTGACTGGATAGTTCCAGTTGATCTGTACCGATTTCCATGATCTAGCAATCTCTGAACCAGTCAAATTCAAGATTTGCTGTGAGTCGGTATTGAAGCTGAGATAAGCTACACCTGGCTCAAAATCTATTATACGAAGTTCACCTGTTGATTGAAATTCTGACATGACTTTAACAAGTTTAAATAGTCAATAGTTGCAGAGCAAAAACGTACAGCTGGTCTGTAATAAGTGATTTATGGTTATGAAAACGAAATATTTGTCAATGTAAAACGAGAGAAGACGTAGGCAACCAGAACGAGAGAAAAAACATTTGAGTATAATTAACAAACCATAGAAAATGGGACATTCTTACGTCAATATTTTTATCTCTTAACAATTTACAGAGAGCACCTGAGATATTTCGTTTTGATATCGCCTGGACTCGTCCAGGTAAATAAATTTTGTACACATTATTCATCAAAATAGATGAGTGAGCTGGGAGGTTTATTCTTCTAACTAATTTAACAGTGTATGCGTTTCAGTTGAAGAGAAGTACACCATGAAATTTTCTTAGTATGCAAAGATGTGATATTAGTGAGTATTTTTATTGACAAAAAAAAACAGTGATGTAAATATGCTAAAACGAATATTTAGGCTAGAAAAGAAAAATGATATGCAGAGTATCTGCTTTTTCAACGATATGTTCTCTTCATACACGAATAGGAAATAATACCCAAACAAAAATAAAGCAAGACGAGAACAGAAAGAAAATAAACAGAGATAAGAAAAGAAGCAAGGAGGCTGTACATATCACACTGTGCATCTGTATGTCTTGTACATATCCACATCCAATCAATAATACCATCGTAAAGCTATAACAAATTGATATACATACAGTTTGTCTGCATACATCCTTTTCAAAAGACTGAAAAGGGTTGTTATTATTCTTTAACATCTATGGATAACTTTACTACTTTGCGCAATTATTTTTCAAGCTAACAAAAAGTTACTATTAATTAACCAAAAAGTTCACTGTACATTTTCCAACGTAGGATACATGATCGTATAATAAGTTGAGATAACTGAATTTGTATACAAAAGAATATAGTATGAATAGGCCTCAATAAATTCAAACATTGGAGTTGTGTTATTAAGAAATCCATCAATATAAAAATATCTTCAGTCTGAATTTAGATCAACATGGAGAAGAAACAGGAAATCTTGAACAAAATAGCAGTACCGTCAATGTCAATCAATATATTATGACTGATCATGTATACGAAACAACGACACTGTTATCTATTGAAGACAATCATTATGATTTAATAAATTGAACAGCTTCAAACGAATATTGTTATTTAGGGTCTTCTACTTGTTCTAATAGTGTTGATGATGAACATGTTGATATTAGTGTGCAAAAATCTAATTATAATTATTGTGATTCTGAAAAAAATAATAAAATTAGTCGTTCTACAGCTACATCAAAGTGTATTATTCGTTGTAAGAAATTAATTAGTCACTTTTATCTTTATAAAAGTTAATGAAAATATTAATATGCTCTTAAGAATGTATAAGTCGATAAATAATTCAAAAAGAGTATGCACAAGTGAAACATATACATTTTATGATGATGTATTCAGAATTGTTAGAGGTTTGAGGCTATGCTGTGAAACATATCTGTTTGAATGTGTGAACAATCGCTCTATTGTTTCTGATTCATTACAGACGTAATTAGCGATAGATCCAGCTGCTTCTTCAAATTCACCATGATTAAGTATTGATGAGTTGAAGTATTTTATTGAACTTGGGCCTAACTGATCATGTATCTCAACATATGGAGTCATTGCAATATTGAGCGATCGGATTTTTAATTAATTTGATCCCTCTCTCTAAACTTGTTTNTTAATCACGAGAGCCTCTACTACTAGTAGAAATTTCAGAGCGTTTACTTCTGTTACTACGAAAAAATGGATCTTAGAAGATTCAAAATTGAAATTCCGTAACGAATGGCCACGCCCATATGCAGAATTTTTCATCTACTATCATTTCAT